ATTGTGCTTCACTTACTCGAGTGTAATGTCACATCATGTAAATCTACAGCTTTCACATTGTGCTTCACTTACTCGAGTGTAATGTCACATCATGTAATCTACAGCTTTCACATTGTGCTTCACTTACTCGAGTGTAATGTCACATCATGTAAATCTACAGCAGATTGGCTTTGAAACATTGAATTCTGAATAGCCAAAAAGTAATATAACTCTGACAGAAAAATAATGATTTAATGAAATAATTCATATATTTTTAAGAACATACCTGGTACCCGGTAATTAATATGTTTCACTTTCAGCACACTTGCGTACATATAATATCATGAATAAATTATTCTTTTGTGATATCTATGTAAAATGTGTAACAAGTAATTTGCCTATATCAATAATTCAGCACATGTACACTTTATATAACCTATAAATGCAGTTCTTGGACCAAAATTATGCAATTTCTTGAATACAATCAAACAATGTTTCTGAAGTTATTAAAATATTTTCCAGTTGTATTTCATGCACAATTCACACTTTAATATATTTAACATGGTTTTCTTTATCTAACAATGTGTCTGAAGTTACTAAAATAGTTTCCATTTGCATTTAACGCATGTATATGGATTCAAAATAATCCTTTGAAGAGAATAAGTAAAAATATTTGTAAATTTACTGACATTTTAAGGAATTGCACTTTCGTTAAAAAAATGGTGTTAACAAGACATTAAGCTAGTCAGCATCTGAACAACTTTGCCCTATTGCACAATTCATGATTGATAGATGTCTGTTATAGTCCAATGGTCGGAGCTAAAAACATTTATTACTGCTGAACATTTTGTGATGGATGCGAGTCCCATTCCATGGAATAATACAAATTAAACTGTTTTCAACTACAGTTTGGTATGTGGTGGACACGACATCCCAGCCTGAAGGTTAGAGCTAAAATCTGTTAGTATGGTTGTGCTGTTTGTGATGGACAACAGTCCTTGCTTGTACAATTTTGTTAGCCAGAACCACAGTAGAATCTTTACCATAGCCTATCACTGTCATACAGTTGGATCCTGGAAATGCCTGAGCACTTTTCTCTACCTGGTTGACCACTTTCTTGCTCTTTGCATTAAGTTGCCAATCAGATGGTTTAGTACAATATCCTAAATACCCTCCAGGGTTAATTGTTGCTTTCCTTTCTTGTTTTTTACGTCTCCTTTTTTGTCCTTTTGTCAAAGACACATCTGTTTTAGATTTCACCAACTCCTGGCTGTCCGCCAACTTTTGTGTTTGCACATGTAGAGTTCTAGATTTTTTATTTCTTTCAGTATTCCTCTTGGGTCTGTTTGACATAGACTCATCTGTTTTAGATCCCAGGGGCTTCTTTTCATGTTTTTTATGTCTCCTTTTTTGTCCTTGTGATAAAGGCACATCTGTTTTAGATTCCAGGGGCTTGCCACTGTCACTTGACTTTTGTGTTAGCACATAAAGCTTCCTAGCCTTCTCAATTCTTTTAAGTTTGCTCTGTATAATGTTTGGCATATTTGTTTCAATTTTCACGGGTTCCATGTCATTTACTAGTCGACTTCCAGCTGAATCACTATTTCCAGAATCTTGTGTATCTGATGTTGGTACTTGTACTTGTGAACATTTGTCTTCAGTCATAAAGTGTGCAGCCTAAAAAATATAAAATATACCAATTTTGAATTTGCTACTATACACATGTACTTTCTAGTTTCATTTTCCATACATTTTTATCATTATCCTACTTAAATTTTGGCAACATACACATGTCCTGTACAGGATCGATACCCTTGTTGAGATAAATTTTCCACACAGGTGCCCTAGGTGAAGTCCTATAAACTAGGAAACAGTGTTTTAGTTAACTGGTTGTCCGACACTCTGAAATGAGAAATGTGATGGTCTGTGAAATTCTTAAATTGTTATTTTAGCAGGAGGATATGTATCACTAACACAATCAAGTCCTGATATTGCCTATGTACACAGACTGCCTCTTCTGTTATTGTATCATTTGGTCAACTATACTTTTTTTGCTCTTTCCAAACATATCCTTGGTTAACTTGAAGTGTAACTTATTAAATATCTGTAATTATTTATCATTGATTCACAAAGCCAGTGTCAATCTTTACCAAAATCCAGAGTAAGCGGTGGTACAAAAGTGTCGATCAGTATGAAGGTAATGGGGATATAGACATTCTATCCTTGGTTCCAGAATGTCTGTATCGCCATATCTTTATATAAGGGACTCACTTTTCATTTCTTTTTAAAAAAGATGCTTATTAATTATTGGAAGGGATTTGTAATTGGTAATAGTTTACCTCTTATTAAGCAAAACTTTTGGCTATCACTTTGTTCAGTTTTATGCTTCATAATATAAAGTTAAGTACAGCTGTACTAAAATATTCTTTGTTGCATCAGTAATTTTAACCTATCAGATTTTGTAAATGTTTGTAACCTTGATTATGTAAAGCATATATACAGATCACTATAAATGTGTTTCACTGTTTATTGGGTCATGTGGTTTGTTATGAACCAGTTTCAATGTACAGTATGCTGTAAAATATGTTTATATGGCCTTTGCATGTCTGTTTCTGGTAGCCCTAGACAGAATATCTATTGTTAATCTGAAAGGGGCCTGAAATTAATTTAAATGGAGGGTCACCTACTGGATTTTTCAAAACCTAACGGAAAACACTTTTTATTTGGCCTTACAAATGACACAAGACCTTAGAATTTTGTTTGTTAAAGGAAGATTTTTTTTACAGTTTGATGCTCACGAGACAATTTCTCTTCTACGAAAACAGTAATTGCTTCATTTTTAATATAAAGGCAATAATTTGCAATAGTTATAAATGTTTATTTTAGTATTAAACCATGTTGTATGTACTGAAAATACATGCATTAATCACTAGATCTTATCTTGAATAGCAGGGAGTTGAAATTATTAAGCGACAATATATATTAAAAGTTTTGGTGTTTCTTAGGTGGTAAACCCTGACTCACATCAATCAACAATGGGCTTGTGTTTCCTTTTCTTTTTCTTCTTCTTAGATTTCACAGACTGATTATTTGACATGTCAATCTGAGGGTTGTTTTCACTATCATCCTCACATACATCAGCCTTTACCTTTTTACTTTTCTTCATTTTCTTGGACTTAACCTGGCTCTCCTCACCAGATTCAACCTGGGTCTGTGATAAAAGTTTTTTTTGTTTTCGTTTCGCTAACTTTGTTTCACTTTCAATCTGGTCAGAAGAAAGATTTGCTTCAATAGTTTTGACAGTGTTTTCATTGTCTATAAGACTTTCAGTCTTTCTTTTTTTACTTTTTTTCAGTTTTTTACTCTTTACAGCTTGGACCTCCTCATCAACTTGTGACTCAGATGAATGTTTCCTTTTCCTGGGAGACTTATTGCCGTCTCTATTATTACAATCTTCCTCATTTTCATCCTGATCATCCTCAGCAGTGTCTCCGGTTGTTTCTCCAATGCTCTCCTCATTGTCTTTACTTTTCCTGTTTTTCTTCAACTTCTTTTTCTTTGTTTTCGACGTGTCAACATTATCTTCTTCAACTTCTCCTAAACTGAATCTCACTTTCTTTTTTGTTTTTCCTACATCATCACTGTTAATTGTATCTATACCAAATCCAGGACGCATCTCGTCCTCGGACTTATCATCCAAGTCTTGAGACACCATGGCAGCCTTTCTTTCGGCCATTTTCTTGGCGAAATAGTCCTGTACACTGTCTGTGCTTCTCACCGTGATGACCCCATGTTGGGTTTTACTCTGGCTATCCGAGGAACTGTCATCATCCTGTCAAAATTAAACCAAAAGATGTCAGATAGGCTTACCCATCTCCTGAAGATAATCAGCAAAAAATCTATAAAGGGTATAAAGACTATATAAAACTAAATTAAGAATCAATTGCATTAGTTTATCTGAAGAAAACCCATGAACACAACAAAGGTTAAGGCTTTTCATGAGGACACTGCACCAATGGGCTGGATGTTCATCCTTGTTTATTTGGGGTTTGTATATTTAACTGCTAATTTAAAACTGAACTTTATATTGACATTACTGATGGACTGGTAAAGAAGTGGAAATTCTGGCAGTTTTGACTTTTTTCCAGTAAATTTTGTGTGTATATGGCAGTGTTCAAATTAACAATTTACAGTACCAGTAGCAGGTGTTCAGTTTATCATAAACAATTAGAATGTTTTTTATTGATATGATCCTGAACTATTCATTGATCTACAAGTTCATGAATACTGGTACAACAACTAGATCTTTCATAGCTACTGGCTATCAGTCGGCCATTGTGTTTGAATACTGTTGTAGATCAGCATTAAGAAATGCCAGTTTGAACATACAAACACTTTATGAAATATAAAAAGCAGCTAAATTTCCAAGAAAAGAATTCAACACAGTAATTAAAACACTCCCCTACCCATGCACACTTTATAGCACAAAGTCAATGTGAAGACCCAAAGCACTGTCCATAACAAACCACGTTTAAGTCTGTTACATCTCCCCCTTACCTCAGACGATGGAGTAAGATCGGCCTCCTGTTTAATTTTACGTCGGCCAAATATACACGCCATATCTTCCCGAGACCTTGATGACAAATCTTTTCCCTTGGTAAATTTTTGGTAGCTGAAAAAAATACATTATAAAGCTGACATGATGAATACAGTGGTGATATATGGAGGTTTCATTTAGCATACCACCATTGGCAAGACAAGCAAATTTATCAATCAAATATGTAATACATTCGCACTTTCGACTCCAAATCTATGGTATTAAAAAATACTAGAAATCACTCAACTGGTGTAAAAACATGACTTCCATATTCTTATCCACTTGGAAAAACTAAGGCAAAAACAATTATGTTTTCAGCTCTCAAAACATTATTCTAGGCAGGTAAATAAAAGTTTTTATTTTTCCACAGGTACTAGCCTCATTTGTCAATACGCCTATACTATAATGAAAGTTACTAAGTCCATTGCCCTAGTAAAATGTCCTTATTACCAGAAAAGATGTGATCCTATCATAAGCCTACATAATATCTTGCTAGGAGAGGTCTGGATCGACAGAAAAATATCTTGGTTTAATAAAGTACAATTTTCAGAAGACTTTATGAAACATAAAAAAGGGGCACTTTTCAGTTTGTCGGACACTATCCTGTTCAGAGAATGACACCCTAAAACCCTAGTGGGTTGATCTTAACTTTCAACATGTATGCAATAGAGGTGTACTGATAAATGGAAACATTGATTAAGGACTTCCCACCCTTCGTTATACACATGTTTTTCTTGTTGCATTTTTGTGTCGTCATTTCCGTATTTCGTAACGAGCATTCCATTACCGTAGTATTAATTATAGTAACACCTGGTAAACAATAGTACACATGCGTGACGGTGATATGTCAACACCCGATATTGTGACTTCACTTGGAAATGTGTAATCACACATACTTCAGAAACAAGAGGCCCATGGGCCTTAACGATCACCTGATTTATGTAAAAACTGATGTTATCGATGTTGCCAAATGAAAAAGAACTCATTTTGTAACAAAAACTTGAACTACATGTAATGCAAAAGTAGTGTGAAAGATGTACTTTGTACAAAAATGGTGGTTCTGTCAGTCAGCTGAATTTTGATAAAATACCTTAAGACCCTTCCATCTACGAAGATTATTTGATTCTACCATATCTGGATCTTGAGAAGAAGATTTTTGAAATTTTAGTCAATTTGACCCTTTTTGGCCCACCCCTCAGATCCCTGGGGGCTGGGGACTATATAATTCACAATAAAACTATAGTAAAATTGACCCCCTCCCCAGGGGTAAACATGAGACCCCAGGGTCATAAAATTCACAATTTTGTAAAGCACCTTAAGACCCTTCCATCTATGAAGAGTATTTGATTCAACCATATCTGGATCTTGAGAAGATTTTTGAAATTTTAGTCAATTTGACCATTTTTGGCCCCACCAATCAGCCCCTGGGGGTCAGTCAGGGCTGATTTGTGCATATCATCAAAATGCTATCCAATACTGATAATGCTAACCAAGTATGAATTAATTCCAATGGAAATTAAACAAATGCTGGTCCAAAATGTGATTTCCCTATATAAACTATAGTAAAGTTTACCCCCTCCACAGGGGGAAACGCGAGACCCCAGGGTCATGAAATTCGTTATTTTGGTAAAGCACCTTGAGACCCTTCCATCTATGAAGAGTATTTGATTCAACCAATCTGGATCTTGAGAAGAAGATTTTTGAAATTTTAGTCAATTTGACCCTTTTTGGCCCCGCCCATCAGCCCCTGGGGTTCAGTCAGGGCTGATTTGTGCATATAATCTAACTGCTATCCAATACTGATAATGCTGACCAAGTTTGAATTAATTCCAACGGAAATTATTAAACAAATGCTGTCCAAAATATGATTTCCCTATATAAACTATAGTCAAGTTTACCCCCTCCCCAGGGGGAAACGTGAGACCCTCGGGCTGATATCGCAGTCTCGGGTTGATACTGGGTGTGATATGGAAAAAGGCATGTATTATTCTCTCTCTATATATATATGTAGGTGTGTTGTGCAGGATGAATCCGCTATCAATGTTTATCCGAGACATGCCCTTTATTTTTAGGACCGATTGCCAGCACTAGTATGCAATTCAGTGTCCGTACAGTGTTGCTACCATAAGAAACAAGCTACTCTGAAACCCTGTGTTCAGTTTTCTAGCTGGCCAGGCTGATTATCAAAACTCTTAAATAAGTTGGTAATTTTCTCCAACTTTTGTGATTGTAATGCTGACTGGCTTGTCAAGTCACTAATTTTCTAAATTTGACAAACCAATCAGCATTGAGGTAAAAAAAAAAAAAAGAGTCGACCACATTAACTTACTGGACTCTGCTGCGCGAGGCCTTAGATTTTTTCTCCAACCCAGTGACCTTATCAGATTCTTTCTCATCATTTGTGTCCTTTTCGGGGGTATCTTGATTAAGACTGGACAACAGGTCATTAAAATCATCCTGATGAGCTATCCAGTTGTCTTCATGATTCCTGGAACATCCAACACCTGAAAAAGTGAGATCAATACATAGCGGTAATGGTTTGCTACATTTCTTTTTTGTCACTTCTGAAGTGATCATCCTTTGAAACAACCTTGTACAGCATTATTTTCATTCCTACATTCACAGGACCTAAAGCTCTGGCCACTGGTTTATAGGAGTGATTTAAGAAAGATGTCATGTCTTTTGGCTTACAGAGAATTCATACACGCTTTGCTGAAGTTCTTTTGAAAGAAAAGGGACACTATTTTTCATGTAGGTCAGTGAGAAGTTTTCGTTTTGAGAATTTCCTTACAAATAAAAGTAAATGATTGTGTTGTTATAGCAATTATGTTCTGAAGTATCCAGATTTTATCAAATTGAGAAAAATTGAACCAATCTGATAAAAGGCAAAACAAAACCATTTGATTTTGACAAATGACTACAACACCCCCCCCCCCCCCCCCCCCCTATTCCTGAATGAAAAAATTAGAAATTTAAGTGAACTTGAATCAGCATGACTTATTGTGAGTCATTATTTTAGCACTAATTCATACCATGTTAGAGAAAGTTACCTCTGGTGTCATTCTTCATAGAAATCTTCACATGATCTACTTTGCCATCTTCGTTCGCTCCAAGTCCTTTTCCCTTCGACCAGCCAAACTTTTCCAGCAACTTGTGTCCAAATTTGGATTCATCTGAAAAAAAACCAGGGATTAGTTTTTGGGTGAAGAATATAATACTGTATGCAGTAAATCTTCCAATTTGCTTTATATCACTCATCCAGATACATTTTTTCCATATCTATCTGTCAATAAAGCCAATGTTTGGTAATTATATATATAATAACCATATAAAATACAATTCAGCGAAATGCCAACAAATGCTATTTTGTTGTCAAGAAAAAAGCATATGGTGACATCTCTCGACATTAAACATCCTTCTTAGAGCATGTAATTATTGTTTAATTAATAAATTCTGAAACTTTTTTAAGCTTGTTCCCAATTATGAATATACTTGTACTTATTGTTTTTTCTTCTGAAATGCCTGTATTACTTGCCTTGTATACCTGTATTACTTGTCTGGTATACCTGTATTACTTGCCTGGTATACCTGTATTACTTGCCTGGTATACATGTATTACTTACCTGGTATACCTGTATTACTTGCCTTGTATACCTGTATTACTTGCCTTGTATACCTGTATTTCTTGCCTTGTATACCTGTATTACTTGCCTGGTATACTTGTGTTTCTTTATCTTCTATAAGACAATTTGTCTACTGATCTGTCTTTTGTCACCTTTAACAAAATTTGTTTTTACTTTGTTCCTAAATTTCTTTTAATACCATTATAAGGCATTAGGCCCAAAATAAATCAGCTAGCATCCTCAGAAAAAATAGGGTAGGTTGTTAGGCCACTTTTCATCTAGGAAAATATTTTACTATGCTTATATAGAGCAAGAGTTCTGACTTTAACAGTGCATATCACTAAATGCCAATAAAAACTTTAGGGTAGGCACACAAATCTAGAAGGGTTAGCGGAAACACAGGATGTTTTTAATTTTACCTGAACATTCATTCGATAACACATATTAAAGACAGAACTAGAAGACAGTACAGTTTGTAGGTTACAGTACAGTGAGAGCATATTCTTGACTCTAGATAGTATTTCAAACCTTTAATAAAATGTTAAGATGGTAATTTATTTCATATCACCCCCTAAAAACCTTCATAAAAGTAACACAAGAGGCCCATGGGCCTTACTAGTAACGGTCACCTGAGTCCTACAGTATTTTTTATTTTTGTTGTTGAAATATGAAGTGGAGATAATGAGTAAAAAATAGTTAAGTATAATGTTAAGTTAAGTTTGTCAGGACAATGAGTTGATCATTCCTAGACCGAGTTTCAGTTAAATAGGCCTATTAGAACTTGATCTTAAGTTTTAAATATTTCTTACGCCCGAATGCTAGTCGTTTCGGTAACAAGTCGTTTCGGGACATATGCAATTTTTACTTATAAATAACATTTTGCTCCCGTTTCATAAAAAGCCATGTAAATACACAAGTATAGTTTTAGTCTATGACTTTATTGACCTCTATCACGACCTACCTGTTCTTGGGATAATTATAGTGTTAACAGATTGCTAGTGCATGAGTGGATACCTACCAACATTTACCCGATTGACAGTGTGTTGTTACCTGATGAAACTAATCTCATTATTAAATACAGATCTAGAGGAACTTATGATATATATTCAACATCAATTTCTTTCATTACTGATAGGTTTATTCCTTGTTTGATATTATAATAATATGTTTTCAATTCACTTTATTCTCCATTATTGTTAATGACAATAAGAGACGAATGTGTTAACATTGATTCTAACAATGTTTTAAGCATTTTATTTTTGCTCCATTGAAATGAAATTTCATGAATTTGCTTTTGATGCAGCTAAGTTAGCGTTGATTGAGGATTTTAACTGATTGTCTATATGGACACCTCGGTCTTTCTCGTGTTGCACTCGTACGATTGGGGATTCTTTTCCATCTTGAGTTATGGTGTAGACATGGTCACCTTGTCTCTGTCCAAGCTCCAGATGTTTACACTTTGTGCTGTTAAGTTGCATGAGCCAAGTTTTGGTCCAATCACACATATGGTTTATGTTGTCCTGTAGATTTTGGCGGTCTGCTGATGTTACATTTTTTGCAGAGAGTTTAGTGTCATCCGCAAATAGTTTAATTGTACAGCTTAACATATCAGGCATGTCGTTGACATAGATCAGGAACAGTATTGGTCCTAAAACACTCCCTTGAGGGACTCCACTTGTGACTGGTTTCAGGTTGTTCCATCGATCGTTACTCGTTGTACCGTATTTTCCAGGAAGGCTTTTATCCAGTTTAAAACTCTTCCCTCAATTCCATACTGTTCTAGCTTGTGTACCAAGAAATGGTGCGAGACCTTGTCAAAAGCTTTACTAAAATCCAGATATATGACGTCTGTGTTATCACCAGCTTCCAGTCCTTTATGCCAGTTTTCCAGGGATTCTAATAGTTGAGTAGAGCAGAATTTCCCCGATCTAAACCCATGTTGGTCTGGTGTGAATAAGTTATTCATGTCCATGTGAGTTAGGATTTCGTCCCTTATTAGACGTTGCATTATTTTTTATGGTACTGACGTTATTGGCCTGTAGTTACCGGGGTCTTTTTTTGGTCCTTTCTTGTAGACTGGTGTCACTTGCAGTTGCCTCTTTCCATGGTGTTGGCAGTTGGGATGTGTCCAGTGATTTTTGGAAAGTGATTTGTAGAGGTTTTTTTAAGGCCTCTACAGTTTCAAAAATAAGTTTAGGATGAATACCATCAGGTCCTTGTGATTTTGTTGGGTTAATCCGTTTGATAGCTTTAAGAACAGAGTCCTCTGGGATAATGATTTTTGATAGCAAATCTTGGTAATTTCTCTTTGGAAAGTGTGGTAGATCTTGATCTCTAACAAAAACACTTGCGAAGAAGTTATTTAGAGCATTTGCTGTGTCTCTGTCATCAGTAGATATTTCCACATTTGGTTTTTGAATTCTTCCAATACTTGATTTGACCTATGTTTTTTATCTTTGAGGCACGGTAGTCTAGTTGTAGGATGCCGGGCTCGTGATCGAAGGGTTGCGGGTTCGCGCCACGGCACGGCAATGTGTTGTACCCTTGAGCAAGATACTTTACTCCGCTTGTTCCAGTCTACTCAGCTGTAAATGAGTATGTGGTTGGGCAGTGCTAGAATTGTTGAATGCTAGCTGTTAGCGCCGAAATGGCAGCTCCGGCTGTATGCTCCCCAGGGAGTTGAGAAATGTACTGGCTAGTTGCAAAGGCCCTATAACCACGGATAATAATTTGTGAACCGCTTTGAGACGACCTACGAACTAGGTTGTGATAAAGCGGTATATAAGAACCTCCAATTATTATTATTATTATTATCTTACATGAGTCCAGAAAAGTTTTAGGTTTGTTTTGATTTTTAGTGTTAGGTCTTCTTTGAAATGTTATTTGGACTTCCAGACTTTTTAAGAGGCGATGTTTCTAGTTTGTTGGTAAGTTAGGAAGTTCAGGACAGTTTTGCAGTGCAGATACTTTATCCATTGGCGCCTTTTAACAGTTATCGCTTGTTTAGCCTCAAGACTCAACTCTGGATTGCGGAATTTTCTGGAATATTGTCCCTTACTCACTGGTACATATTTGTCAATACTTTTTTGGAGAAAAACAGTAAAGTTGTTCCAGGATTACTTTACTCCTTGAGTATCTTCTAAAATGTTTCAATCTATGTTGGCTAAGAACCGGTTGATACCTGCAGTCGCCTATGAAAAAGTTCTTTTTAGGTTTGTTGTTATGGTTGTTCTGTGGGTCAGAATAGCAGATGAGCTTGAATTGGAGTCCTAAATGGTCGCTTTTCCCTAGTCTTTCCATGCATAATATGTCCTGTACCATTTCCTCTTCGTTGGTGAATATCAGGTCTAGAGTCGAAGGGGTTTGGTTTTCTTGATATCGTGTTGGTTGGAGAACATGTTGGTGAAGGAACTTGTCACGGATACTTTCCAGGAATATACTGGCAGGGTTGTTTACACTGACTGAAGATTGTTGCCTTTCCCAGTCAATCTCCTTGTAATTAAAGTCACACAGTAGTAGGATATGGGATATGCTGGTAGTGTTCAAATGTTCTATAAGTTGGTTAAGCCTAATATTGTTGTCTGTTGAGCTATTCGGACTCCTGTAGACACAGCATATCAGTAGTTTATCAGTTCGGTTCAATTTGACTGAGCACATTACATATTCCTGGCAGGGTTCATCTTGTTCCGTTATGGCCGCACATAGTGCGTTTTTAGTGTATAAGACAACTCCTCAAATTTTGTCAGTTCCGAAATGTGCAGAATAATTTTCTATTTGGTAGGACTGAATATCAATTGATAGACTTGTTGATTTAGGAAGGATCTCGGTCAAGCATATGATGTCATGGTTTTCAGTATTGATATATTCACAGAGTTCTAGTTTTTTTGATGAGGTAAGTACATCTACGTTGGAATAATACAATTTGGGGAATTCAGTTGTTTCATAAAAAGTATCACTTTTGTTTAAAAGCATAAAACTTAGATCCTATAATCTGTCTACCTCTGGTGAGGTTGTTTCTTCTGTAGTACTGTCGTTGTGTTGTGTTTCTGAGATATTGCTGTAGATGAGTGTTGCATCAGCGTCCATGAGGGTTGTATTTGGCAATACTGATGAGCCAATAGGGCTTATTGATAGGCCCAATGCCATTCTGTGCACAGCGTTGGTGTTTCTATTGGGAGTATGATAAGTTGTAATATTTTTTATCCAATCAATTGTTTAAATTTATCTGACATTAAAATTTGTTTTAAGAAAAAGGACAATGGTTTCTACAGAAGATAAAAAAAATATTCCCAAACGACTTTTGACATGTCCCGAAAAAAGTCCCGAAACGACTTGTTACCGAAACGACCTGACACTACGCCCTACCTGCAGGGACTCATTTTCACATAAAAGACGTCTGGTCAGAATAATAAAATATAAGTTTTCGGTTAGAAACTGTGGCTTATCCCCGCCGCCCCCTGTTTAACAGTGTTTGCATAAATACTATTAAATAGCAAAGAAATAGATGTCAGAAATGTGTTTCATGCTCGAAACACGTGTTTTCAAAATATCCGGATTTATCCAGAATCTCACATTCGTCATAGATAACATCTTATTTGTCATCAAATTTTTTTCACTTTTATACAAAATAAAGATTTGAAATGTTCAATGTCGATTATTTTCGGACACCCTCACCTTTACTCCAAGCATTCCCTCTAGGATCTGCCGATAACTTCTGTTTTCGACGTGGTCCAGCTAGCATAGACATTTTACAACATCGTTTCCGCTTCCGATCGAGTCCTATCTCTCTTCTAAGCCAAGGATTTTGATTGGTTCGCTTCAGCTAATGGCAATCGGTCTTTCAAAACAGTGCAACAACTATGAAAAAGTAAAAGACGTTCCGAGTTTGTGAACTAACCAGTAATATTCGAGGTCATATATCACTGCCAATCAAATCAAATGTTGTTATTCGTGACGAACATAACTGGCAAATTTGAAAATGTGAGTTCCGAAGAGAAGCACTTGGAGACGACGTTTTCAGTTTAGACGAGAAACAAGGAAATTTTGGAAATTCATGTGCCTGGGTTGAAACGAACAACTTCTTATGCGTTTTCTAATTTAACTTATCAAAATGACAAGTGCTGCGAAATTAAGACGGGATGAAATAAGGAAAGACAACATCCCTGAAATTATTCTTGATCCAAGTTCAGGCAAACGCTATTTGAAAGGACGATTTTTGGGCAAGGTAAAACTGAAGAGATATTGTTGATTTAAAATTATATTGTCATCGTAGCGTTCATATTTTTTTCGGTTATTTTAAAGTTTTATATCGAATATATTGTTTTGGTGGACTGTTAAACATTTATCACCAAAGTTGTTGAGAAAAATAATCTTCAAAATGGCCGTTGGAAACGTGTTACAACGTGTTTAAAATCCAATCGATAACACTAAGTATTGTATATTTTTATAAATGTTATTAGAATTTAGTTAAAATTTAACATTTGAATGGTTTGATATTAATATGACATATGTCCGTAGTCAATGCATTGCAGTAAATGAAGTCGCCGCCAACTGTAGTTTGAATATATTCGATTTGAAATTGAACGTTGAACGACTCATTACAGGTTTATAAGTCATACTTTTAAATGTAATATATGATTTTTCAAGTCAACTTTCTAGTTTTGAGAATTAAAATTCAGTATTTTCATACTTATTTTTGTATTCACGTTTGTTTATTTTTAATTTTGCTGTTCTTTTGTTACTAAACCGTTGAACAATAATTGATGCATGACATCCGGTACTCTAGATGATTATTTACTATACTGTACAGTCCTACGGCGGTATAATTTAACAATACGTTTATAATTTAGTACAAACTTTTAAATGATGCAAAGCTTCTCTACCTTATTTAAATTAATTTCATGTCTTTCTGCCTTTTAAAACTTGGAAGTTTACCTGTCCTATATTTTATTGTTTTAGCACAGTCAACTAAGCTGTCTGTCATCTCTTTTGTTATAGTCAACAATAGAGATGGTTATCCAATCTTGTAAATCCAGTACATGTTAATATTTGTGTAGAACTTAATATGAACTAGGTGTACTATAGTACACTTCATTCTGTAAATGATTCATAAACTGTAAGTTATATAAGGAAACATACTTCATCGAGCTTTGATTTTATAAAGGAGACAGATAATGTTTACAGTTTAAAACCAATACGCTGTAGATGAGATACAACACATTTGTTCCAAAGTTTTGAAGCCTTCCATGGGTGTATTTGTCATTGAATTCAGTCATCCAGCTGAAAGAGATATAACATACTTCAAGGAAAAATTACTGGATTACAACATTCACATTTGATCAGCCTTTTTTATTGCGATGTTGACATATTTCAACACAATAGGTGTACATGTTTACTACAGGAATATCAATCCAGTCCTGACCAAGTCAATTTCAACACATCCATGAGTTGCAAATTTAAATGTCCAATAAGATTTTGTTGACTTATATTAGTAGCTATATAGTGCGCTTTTACCATAAATCGCAAATTGTCGAGTCATTTCTAGTCCCACAATAAATGCATATAAATGAAATCCTGCTTTAGGTTGTTTCTGCCAATAACAGGTTGGGCGCATATGGGTAATAATCCTGCATTCGGGTGACAGCTACCCATTTCTGATTTTCAGTAATAATTTTATTAATACAGGGTAATAAAGTGAAATAAAAACAAAAACACATAAAAAATACACTGTTAAAATATGTTAATTCAGTTGTCTAAATTTTTGTGAAAATGACAAATTGTATCACCTCCATTGCTTATACTAAATTATAGTGTGTTGTAGAGTAGCTATTGTCCTTTTCAAAAAAAGTTAGACATCAGAATTGATAAATTTTTGTGCACAAATGTACTTCATTGTGTTATTTATTTGATTTAGTTGACAGAATGATGCCCTTTTTTGCTCAAAGTGTTTAAAAGAACTTTGTGTGTTTATATTTCACTTCATTCCCCATTTCAGTAATAAAATTGTTACTCAAAAGGGTAACTGCTACCTAAATGCAGGATTATTACCCATATGCGCCATTGTGCCCAACCTAACTAACGGGTACCATAGACTCTTTAGACTGTCTAGAGGACCCATTGGCCAATTATCATGAATTGATAAGTACATATATATAAGCATTGGGGAAATTTGTCAACAAAATACAGGGTAATTGGCGTGTCAGGTTCTCTTGAGATGAAATGTATATCTTTCCTGTGAAAAAATCATGCGGAAATATTCAATATTGGTAGTTGGAATACACCTAGTCTGCTAGCCAACATCAGTTTGCTTAAATCTCAATCATATAAAATCAACCATCTTTGTAAATTGTGTTTCCTTGATATTACACAATTATACTGTACATCCCAAAAATTTTTTTACTTGTTTAACATATTTTCTTTCGATTCAAAGTTATTTCTCATTTTTTTTGTGGATTTTTTCTCAGCATTCTCAGTTAATTTCAGAAAATGTTGCATATTTTTTTTGAAGTATGAGAAATGTAATGGCTACAGATCTATATCATCAATACATCAAAGTGACCCACTCTAACTACACACAAACTATATCTTCTCAGAGTGCACCCTTGAATGTTGTGTCATAACAAAATCAAAGACTAAAGTAAACTGATCATGACCTGATATCATATACATATACCTGCCCTGATTACAGAGGAGCTCACCCATATCAACCCTTTTATCTTGTATGATAGAGATCACAAAAATGCAATTCAAGGTTCTGTAACATCACAACTTTTATGCTACCTGTAGTTGTTCATATATAACATCCAAAATGTTGGTGCACTAGAACCTTCAATTTTGTCGTGACATATGTATGTAGTTCACATGTATCTATTATATTAACAGAGTCTTAGAAGATACTTATTTTGACTCGAGAGTGAATGTGGAACTCTTTAGAGAAAAGGAACAGTATGTTTGAACATTAATTACATTGGTAATTAAGTATGCAGTGTTTTACACATAATGTTACCTTTTTTGCCCATTTTGGACCCAAATTTCAAAAGGAGAATGGGCAAGTTGGATGGACAAATTTATAGGTTTCCCAATACAAATGTTGGCCAATTTTTTTTCAGTTTTAATTTAAAGGTCCATATATATCAGTCACCCAAACTAGAAATTAATAATGGTTTTTTTTTTTAATTTAACATTTATGAAAAATCGAAAATAAACATCTAAATGTATGCTTTTTGTAGTCAACATTTAAAACCATAAACCTTATTGGTATATGCAACTTTGCTTTAATTTTATGAAAATTGAAATCTGAGAAAATATAGCTCAATACATTTAGCTAATAACAGCTCAATCGGACCTGAATATAATATCCATTACGTCATAAAATGAAACATTTATCAAATGCAACAGTCAGATATTCAAATGATGAAAGATCAATCAATCACATATACTTTCATATTAACATTTCAGGGTGGCTTTGCAAAATGTTACGAATTAACAGATGTGGAAACAAAAGAGATCTTTGCTGGCAAGATCGTGTCCAAGACATTACTGGTGAAACAGCACCAGAAGGACAAGGTATGTTGATCACCAGTCCACTTCAACACCTCCTCACCCTGATTTCTACAACAGAAGACTGTTAATTGAATTTGAAATTGTGGTCAGAGAAATCAAATACTCCGTTTTAGTTAATTGCCACCAATTGCAAGGATGTGCAATTACAGAAAGGATCAGCTATTCAATTCCAATGACAGTTATAATAATTATGACACTGGTCAAAACACAAGACTGGAAAGTTAACCTACTCCAGGACTCTATTGATAAAGCCCCCTTTTAATATACACCATATATATATGAAATACTTACTTTTATATATATTATATTGGTGTACATGTCCAGGTTGTGTTACTTTTCATGTTTCTGTGATAAATGCAAGTTATTATGTATGGTTGTGGGGTGGGTTTTTTTTTTTGTTGGTTTGTTTTTAGTACTTGTGAAAATATCACTCACAAAAAGATATTCACTCAGTTTAAGTTTATAAATGTATATATTTAAAACTTATACAAGATATTACTATAGTATGATTTATTTTGAAAAGTCAGTTGCTCATCATCAATTAAATAAATTTCTTTCTGTTTTAAATTCTCTGTTACAAATAACAATGAAATTCCCTTTCTTTACAGATGACCCAGGAGATTAGCATCCACCGCAGTATAAATTATAAATACATTGTCAAGTTCCACTCCTTCTTTGAAGATTCGGACAATGTATACATTTTATTGGAGCTGTGTAGGAGAAGAGTAAGTGCTGTCGGAGAACATTTCCTCTGGACTATATGCAAATTCTTCATATGCATGGGTGTAAAAATCAATGTAACGTACCCCCACACAACCAGTTTTAACGCAGGGGCAAATGCAAAAAGTTGGTACACTTGCTATGGGCAAGTGCAATAGATTGAATTCTTAAGCATGATTTTGCATTTGTTCTGTTCCCCCCACAGAATAAATGATTTACTTTACTGGCTGTAGTTAAGTGGAATTATACACTTACACCATTATGAAACAAACCAAATTCATGAAAAACAACTTCATCCTCGATTTGATGAAAAATATGCACTTCTGATAAAAATAACTGAAACTCTAGCTAAAATATACAGTTGGGATAGATGTAAGATTTACTTACTTAACTTACTGATTGATTGTATACATGTACTAATTATCATCTGAGGAACATTGTTTTGGCCTGAAAAGAATCTGTTTATTAAAAAGGATGTTGCACTGGCGTGACTAATAACCACACAAATCCAGACTTGGATTTCTGGAATTCAAAACTAACAAAATTAAATAACTGAATAAATTTTGAAAATTATTGAATCCACCACTGCAATTTAAAAGTAAATAATTGATATTATATTTGCAATAACTGAGAAATACTTCCATTATTATATTTCATGAAAAGTTATTGGTTCTTTCAGTCACTCATGGAACTTCATAAGAGAAGAAAGGCCATCACAGAGCCAGAGACGCGCTACTTGGTGCGACAGGTTATCCTAGCCTGTCAGTATCTCCATGGCAATAAGATCATCCACAGGGATCTTAAACTTGGCAACCTGTTTATTAATGATGAAATGGAAATGAAAATTGGTGACTTTGGATTAGCCACTCGTGTGGATTATGATGGGGAAAGGAAAAGGTGGGTTGTACTTATACATTCAGTCATTTTCGGGTTTTGGCAGATTTCTTTTGACTTTTTTGTGTTGGAAAATGGATGTACTAACAAATCATCTATTAATACAATAGTTTATAATGGTTTGATCTGATATGATATCGTAACAGGGCTAGACCACAAGGACCTGAGAATTTGTTACAGCTATATTTGGACCTACACTAGGGTGTTAGTAATTTTACATGTTTTAGGGTCCCAGGGTTTAGATCGACTTTCGGTAAAAATGAACATATATATACGAGGTGGGCGGAAAGCTCACAATGTCGAAAAGTCGACCCTACCTAACTTTCTTGCATCCGAGGAACAACATTTCTAGTTGATCTACCGAAAAATGCTTCGTACCGTTGGAAAGATGAATAATTTTTCTTTTAAAAACCTCCTATATGCATGTAAAATGTGTTCTCCTTCCGCGGACATGATCTCCTTTTCCTCCAAAATCACACACCATTTCAGAGTTTTTTGCAGTCATCGTGCCACTTTTTTCAATATTAATGAGGTTGAGGTCAGCGGATGCCGAAACATGCAGTGTTGGTTGGTTAAGCAAAAACATGGCTGCACTTCCAGCCAATCACACCACGAGTCTCGGCATGCGATGACCTCAACCTCATTAATATTTTTTTAAAGTGGAACGATGACTGCAAAAACTTTGAAACTCTGAAATGGCGTGTGTTTTTGTAGGAAACAGAGATCTTGTCCACGGAAAGAGAATACATTTTACGTGCATATAGGAGGTTTTTAAAGAAACAATATCTTTCCATTGGTACTAAGCATTTTCCGTAGATCAACTAGAAATGTTGTTTTTGATGCAAGAAAGCTTTCCGCCCTTCTCCTGTATATGATCATTGGGGGTGTCATTTTTACCCTAAAACATGTAAAATTACTCTGAACACCTTAGTTTAGGTCCAAATATAGCTGTTACAAATTCTCAGGTCCCTGTAGGCTAGACAATAAGGGTAGCCTGATCAAAACCAATGAAATCTGAAGCTGTACTAGTGCTTAAAATATCGCTAGCCTGATTGACTGGTCAATATAACTAATTTCAAAGTCTAAAGCTTCATTCCCAATACAGTACACAATAAAGACCAGAACTTGTACGGCTACATGTATACTTATTTGTTGCCGCTACAATGTGGATTGTATAAAAATGATGATCTTTTCTGTTTTTCAGAACGTTATGTGGGACACCAAACTATATAGCCCCGGAAGTACTTAATAAAAAGGGCCACAGTTTTGAAGTTGATGTCTGGTCACTTGGCTGTATTGTGTAAGTTTTTGGTGATACTATATTGAGTTTTACTATTAAAATGGCTCCGTTGCACAATATTTTCCACTTTGAAAATAGATATAATAGGTTTAATGGAAAACCTTTCAGTATCCTATGTGTATTTATTGGTAAAAGTGTGTCAAAAATGTTGATATTTACTATGAAAGTTTAGGTGGGGCTTGCAGATTTTGTTCAAAATCTATCTGTAGCCTAATGTTCATAATTTGAAATTGCGCACCCCAGGGCATAAATCAAATCTGTATACTTTTTCAACTAAAGCTACATGTACATCAATTCAAACACATTCCATATTTTGAAGTATCTCGGAAACGAAAAGCTTGGCTACATTGCCCTGACTTGGTTTTCACTTGCACACTTTTTTAGGTATACCCTATTGGTTGGGAAACCTCCATTTGAGACAACCTGTCTAAAGGATACTTACATGAGAATAAAAAAGAACGAGTACCACATCCCATCACGGGTGAGCCAGCCTGCCAAAAATCTGATTATCAAACTGCTCAAGGCTGACCCCACAGACAGACCCAATATGGAAAAAATGCTTGATGATGAATTTTTCACTTGTGGTAAGTAATCAATTACACAATAAGTCATGACTGTATTTTTAAAGAGAAAGGGGGATCTTTTGATAATTACAGATATTAAAATCAGGATGGAAATGTGCAGGCACTGATGCAATCATATTTAGAATAATAAAATATGTGCTGCAGAGGCATTTATCCCAATACAATATTTTCACTCTGCAAATAGTTTCAGGAGTCAAATATTGGATAAGAATTATTAATACATTTCTAAATAATTTCTTCGGGTTGGTAAGTATGGATTGCAGAATCACATCGCAAGGGCAATGAGAACATGTGCGGATCCGGAAGGGGCTTTAAAACGGGTTCAAAATAAGGGGAAGAACAAGAAAAGGCCAATCAAGGATAAGAACAAAACCAAAGGTCAAGTGGTCATCCTGTATATAAAGGGTATATCCGAAACCATCCAGAGGATATATGGTGGTCATGGCATAGCAACAGCCATGAAGCCCCACAAGACGCTTCACAATATCCTAGTACAGAGAATGCATATACAAAATCGGATGCAAAAACTGAAATGGACATTGATTGTGTGGACAACTCGTACACATTTTACACCTTTGTGTGCATACGCTTCACTGGTCATTTGTCTGATGAAGGTGACAGTGTACATATATCCTACTAGTCATCAAAATAGAAAATTTTATTGGTTGTGTAAAAAGAATTTTTCATAATTATGAATACAATTCCATAGAAATGTAGACAGATTCCTAGTTCTTCTGCAATTTTTGGAGCTCTTTCACCAAGAGCTTCAAAAGAAAATGAAAGCTGTCTAAATTTCTTTTCTTTGCGCTAATGCCAGAAGACTTAATAAGTAAGACTTTTGACATTTTGGCAGAGATAAAGATCAACTTGAAAATATTCATTGTACATATAGAGTTGAGATTGTAAGTTTTTCAAAATCGATATGTTGTCAAAATGTCTCGAGTGCTCATTTTCGCTTAAATAGAAAAATACACACTAACAATACAGGTTCCTCACTGATTTTTTTTTTAATTCTCTTGTATTGAATATATTTGAGATCAGTTGTCACATTTGTGAGGTTAGATGTCACAACTGGGTCAATGATGTTACAGTAATTCTGAATCCTTTCAACCAATATGTTCTCAAAAGGTCATAATTACAAACATACAGATAACAGTATATACCTAACACATAGTTTTGTGACGATAAACTAAAACACTTTTGTATGTTTTAGGTTACTTACCGACTCGCTTGCCTACAAGTTGTCTGACAATGGCGCCACGGTTCGACACACTTGCCAAATCTGAATCCATGTCCAGGCGGCCTTTACATGAAATCAACAGAGCAGGTAAAGGTTAGCATGCTGTTTATTCTAGAAGTGCTGAGCATATAGAGCATATGTAGCATTCTGTGGTAAATTGTGTACAAAGTTTTCTTTGATTGAAAGTGGTGTTTAGTTGATCAGAAAAATCATCAAAATCGTAAAAGAGAGTGGTTAAGTTTGTTGATACATTGTATATAAATGTATTGTTTTTCTGGTCAACATCAAAGGCTGTAATATTGGAAAAAATATCTTAATAAACACTGTTGGATGAATACTTGCCAAACCCTTAAAAATAGTGCAGTCCATGCAAATTATAAATTTTCTTATTGACTTCAAAACACTTTTACAGAAATAATTCACGAGTGGTAAGGTCAAAAATTATTCATGTTACAAATAAACATGACTTTAATTGATTAAACTGCTTTAAAAGTCACTAGGGGTTGGTGCGAGAGTGTTAAGCATGAACACAAAGAAAGATTCATAAAAATGAACTACTTCAATTGGATCCATTTGAAAATGAGTTGTTGGCAGTTTCCCCCTTTATTAAACTGATGACAAACTGGAATCCAAATATTTAAGAAATAACTAGTTTTAATAACATACTTTGGTACAATGTATTCAGACCCTAATACCAGACCTGCCACAGCCTTACCTGAGATGATGAAGAAGGAGGATAAACGTCCAGAGCATTCCGAGGGTGAAGAGGCAGAAGGACGAAGCAGGAAAGGCAGTGAGTACACAAAACAGTTACAGTAAACCTTCCTGTTTAAACGTTAAAGATTGAAAAATAAAAACAGCTTAAAAGTGATCTATTTTACTTCGGGAAAACAAATTATCAAAGAAGAATAGATTAAATGGTGGGAGTCAGGTGATAGTTTTCTGCAATATCCCACTCTGAATAAATACAGCTCAACTATATATATACAATGTGTACTTGTGTTGATACCGATGTTGGAATGGAGCTTATAAGAAATTTTCTTTTTCACTTGAACCATTCCTCATAAATCAGTTCAATATCCAACATTTTGTAGGTTGCTGATTGTCTAAATACTCTTTTTTTCGCAGGTGATGAGCCAACAGATTTCTACCTTTCCGACTTGTTTGCCCAATTGGGTACTGTGGTAGCTGCTCGGCCATCAGAAAGAGCCCTGGTACAGGAAGGTGAGTACCAACTTTTTATTGGAATGTTTTCCCTATGTTAGCTGCAAAGTAAATGCAATTTGAAAAATGTCCAGCAGAAATATGCTGGTAATTTCAAAATACAGTGGGATCTGTCTAATCAAACACCTAAATATTTTGATATCCTAATTTGACTTCCTGGCCCTGTTTCCCATACATTGTCAAAATTATCAGATTACACATGTTTCATTAACGATATATATCAATATAACTGCCACCTTTGGAATGATTTTTGATACATTTTAAAACATAATAATTAGTATTACGATTTATCATTTCGAAATAGTTTGCCACTATTAAAACATTGTATTTACCAACAGAGATGTACCATTCCACTAGCCTGCAGCTGGTATATTTTGTAACAGGACTGACAAACAATTTTGTATATATACATGTATGCATTGTATAATGAAAAATAGGTTGGGCGTGTAGATTTATCTGTGCACAATAATTGAAAATGAAGTCTGGATATAACACCTGGCAGTGAGTAAAATCATCCAAAGGATTTAAATTTACAAATTAAGTTCTTTCCATTTAAATGTGAAAAGAGATTCTGTGCACAAAAATTGAAAATGCATGCCTCCAAGCCATAACTTATCTCTCATTTAATTATTTTGCCATTTTGCCTGGTTGTAGAGGATGCCCTAGACCCCGCCTGTATCCCCATCTACTGGGTGAGTAAGTGGGTAGACTACTCGGACAAGTACGGCCTGGGCTACCAGATGTGTGATAATAGTGTAGGAGTACTCTTTAACGACTCTACCCGACTCATCCTATTGGCCAATGGCGAGTAAGTATCCCACCACAAACACCTAAAGTGATAATATCATGTACCCAAACTACTTGTTTTTAGTCAGAACGAATAGCCTTTAACTGAATTTAAAAAGTTTGTATTGAAATAAGTTGACAAGGAGGTATTTTAAACTTTTATACAAGACATCTCCAAAATTGAAAGGCACAAGCACTCATTTCTGAAAAGAAGAAAAAGATAAAATTTTGAAGTTTCCTATTGACACGGGGTTGAAATTATTTTCAGAAATGTGCAGTACATTGAGCGAGACAGTACAGAACACTATCATACCATCAAAGTTTTCCCCGAGACGCTCACCAAGAAAGTGACGCTGCTCAAGTACTTCAGGAACTACATGAACGAGCATTTATTAAAGGTATGAGCAACACAAGTTGACTTGGAATATTTAGTTAAGGAAAACTCCAAGTCACTTTATATTAAACATCTCTTGATCCCTTGTGTACATCATCTTCGCTAGCCAAGTGTTCGCTTCGTATACACTCCACTTACCCTTGGCGGATATAGCTGTGTTTTCATAATTCCCTCCACTGCCACCTAGCGGATATACCGAGTTAATGCTCTTCTCCCAAAAAAAATTAACCAATCAGAATGACCGTTACATACACACACCATTGGCATGTTGACGAAAGCATGTCACATGTATGTTGAGGCGGATTATAAATGACAGAGCAATATGGAAACAATCCAAAGGCAGCACACATATTTTCCTAGGTCATCATTTACATGTGGCACATAGTCGAGGATTTCTGATTTAAAAGTCCAGAATTTTCCCCAAAGATCGTTCGCCTATTCTTTGGGGGCAAAACACAACATAAACGAAAACATGCTTTGAACAGGGCTTCGCAATTACTGTTTCCTTCGTCAACAGCGCTATATGTAAGACGCGATTTCATTGGATGCGAGTGATTAACACCGCACAAAAATTTGAAGGCTCGGTAAACACAGCTATATCCGCCAAGGGTATGTGAAGTGTATACGAAGCGAACACTTGGCTAGGGCAGATGTGTGAACACTGGTTTTGATATTTGGTCCTGTCATTTTTAGTCACCCCTGGGGGAACCCAAGTGGGGACTATTAATTTCAGTTACAGGCCCAGATTTTGACATCTGTTGCTTTACGCTAAAAACGCTTTCGTGTGTTTGCTTCTGTCGGAATATACCAGGCGCTAATTACTAGTGGTGTACCGATAATCGGAAACATCGATTAAATCAAGTTTGAAAAGGGTCCGATCCAATAATCTATTTTGCTGATGAAAGATTGATTATGTTCAATTGTATTGTAATCATTTTCTAACTTGAAGCAGACGCAACATCTGCACCGACATTATAAATTTGGTGGTTAATATAAAAATGGAACTGTATATGGTAAAAAAAGCGGAATTGCTTTTCGTTGCGTCACTTGTATTCGTTTCGTATAGTACATACATCCGCATTTTGTATCGACCGAAACCGCCATATTTGAAAGCTGGTAAACTGAAGCTAGCAGGAGTGTTTTTCTTGATAAATAATCATTGATTGCTATGTTATAGTGATTGGAGCATTCAAATGGGGGTAATTAATACCTAAACTGTGAGTACACCTAGTTGTCATCACGTTTTGAGTCAAAACAGAGATTATAATTGAATCCTTTCTTCCATCTAGATTTTGGAAACGAGCATTTTCTCATCAGTCGGCACAATTACATCAGATAATAAATTGACCGGCCTCTTATGTTACACGAGTAGGTCATTTAAACCGATAATCGATCGATTATATAGTTCCGATTATCGATCTTGAATATTTGATCGATTCCCAGCACTACTAATTACAAGCTCTTGGATAACTCAGATATCGATTTCCTTTTTAAACAGGAATAGCATTAAACCTAAAGGCGTTCCAAATTTCACATAGGAGTTACATATAACCTAAAGATGTTCTGTGTATGAACAGACTGTTATATAATAAATTGCTATTGATTGGTTTAGATATTTTATGACTGACCAATGACTACCGTCAATATTCACGTATAGTGGGCACTTTTTTTTAAAATGAAAAATGAAGTGCCAAGAAAGGGGTGTACAGGATAATCAAGAACAATCCAAAACCAGTCCTTGGTCGTAACCATTCATCGTAATGATTTTTGGAAATGTTTTGAAATATGCTCGCAGCAATAAACTAAATTTCGTTGAATAACCCCTGATTGCATTGTCAATTTAATTATTACGAAAAGTTGCAAGTTTAAGTCATATTATATGATAGAATCAGATAAATAAACTCGAGTAAAGTAGGCCCAACTTTTCAGGACGTTATGTTGTGAATTGATAAATACCACGTATGGGGAAACATAACGGAGAATTGCATCGTCATTAGCATAGTCTGGGGTTAAAAAGTCATTCTTGGGTAAAATCATGCTGGACTATTCAATCTTGATAGTAGGAATGTGTCAAAACGACATGGGTAAAGTGGCTAAGTTCGCAAGTTTGTGTACTGCAAAAAGTCAAGGTCGCAATGTACTATTAACCGGAAGGAATTCACAAGATGACATTCATGCGAGTTGAACAGCTAATGATAACAGTTAAGAGTTTGAAAAATAAATATTAACAGGCTCAAAACAGCCAAATACATTCTGATGATTTCTTTTCAAAGAAGAATTGCTGAAATCACAATTGTTTGGTGTTCTTCATGTCTCGCGAATTCGACTGTTGGCGGTCCTCATCGGACCTGTTTGAGTGACTGCTTTTAAGCGTACACACTGCCGATATCGATGTCCAATCAGAAAACTACTTGGAAAAGTATTTTATAACAACAAAAAAGTAGAATTTATCTGTATATATAAGATTGAATCTTTTCTGAAACTTATTGTTGTGAAAACAACATCATTATTTTCCAATTACCTGTTCTGCCCATGCCAGATGATCGTGTCAGCAGATGTCCCCGTACTCGAGGTGTCGGTCAACGCTTACATTATATTTGCCACATGCTTTCTTATCAATTCCATGTGTTGGCATGGCTACCTAAACAGCATTTATGTATTTACACCTGGTCATTTTTAGACCATTTTGATTGACAGGTGGAAATATCAGTTGTAGCTTGGTCAATGATTTATCTGAAGTCATTTTGGCATATTTCTAGTTTCTTTTAAATTTCTGTATATCAACCCTTGTTTGATTTGTACTCTTATCAACTCGACCTTAACTGCTGATCTATACATAAAGTTGTTATTTTAAAAAGAAACACCTTTTTCCTTGGTAGACTTTCCCTGCATAAGTAGTTTTCTGGATAAAAATGTGGTGACTGTTTACTTGGTGAAATGTTTTTTCCAAGACATATACAGAAGTTTCCAGCTGGTCAACCTGTACTATGATATTCCCTTTTTTCAAATAAAAATACACCGCATCCTCTATTGTTGTTAGTGAATTGACACAACCAAAACAGTAGAAGGAATGTGTGAACAAAACAATAAATGTTGGTCATTTTGTTACAGGCTGGTGCCAACATGACCCCTCGGGAGGGTGATGACATGACCCGTCTACCCTTCCTGAGGACCTGGTTCAGGACACGTAGTGCTATCGTCCTTCACCTCAGCAATGGCACACTACAGGTAAGAGATAACCGAGTTGTTTATGCCCCAGAGACACAGTCGAGGGAATATTAATCATTGTCGTTTATGTTAGGTGGTATAATGACATCTGGGTTTGACTTTGTATATAACTCCATAACTTTAATACTATAAGTACAACTTTCATCAAACTTCATAATTATATGCATACGTCTTGAGAGGTACTTTACCAAAATATCAAATGTAGGTTACTATGACCTATTTTTTGCACTTGAAACAAAAGAAGGGACGTCCTATATGTACATTTGACAAACGACTTTTTAGTTTCATTTTTATTTCCAGATCAACTTCTTCCAGGACCACACAAAGATAATCCTCTGTCCGTTGATGCAGGCAGTGACCTACATTGATGAGAAGAGAGACTTTCATATATTCAGACTATCTTTGATAGAGAAATACGGGTGTTCTAAAGAACTGGCTAGCAGAATTCGCTACGCCAAGACAATGGTCGAACGTCTGATGACGACAAAGTCTGGATCAGGACGCGTACGATCTGCAGCACCTCCAACAGCCACAACCACAACCACTTAGAAGGCACCCTCCTCTGTGTTGTGAACAGACATTAACAGACACGTCGCTGTACCGTGACCTGAGCTAGAGATCTCAGATACAATCAACAAAAGGTTGCTATATACTCAGTCCCCCCAGACTAAGGATAGTGCCCCTATAGATTACAATACTAATTACAGGGGACCATATATATTCAGGGGCTCTAAAAACTGAGGGACTAGTGCATGTTTGAACTCTAACAGACTACAGGCATTGTACAGTTCCATGTTATTGCATTTAACTATGTACATTATCTGTATATATTTATATAAATCATGCACACCATTTCCGTAACTTGCCTTTTCTGATCCATTATCATTCTTCTCTGTCTCTCTATCTTTCATTGTTTTAAAGCTTTTCCTCGTCTTGCACACAATCTTGTTCAATGAAGAGTTTTGCAGAAGTCCAGGAAAATGTCTGTAACACATATTTTTTTCTTGAACTCCAGTGTTATGCTTCCAGTTGAAAGGATGTTCATGGAACTGGGACAAGATGATCCTCTTCATTTTAGTAAATTGGAGAGAATTTTTGGCTGGACCACAGTTGTTTGTGAGAAAGGAAGTGACCCTTGGTTTGATTAACTGTTTTTGAGGAATTTAGTGGAGGTCTGTCAGATATAAAAGGTCTACTACATGATTTGATATTAATAAAAAAGGTGACTCATAAACAGGTGGACAAACCAGCACACCCGTAAAACCCTTCCAATGTAGTATTTGTGAATAAAGATTATTATTTAGATTGCTTGCGAAATATACACTAATTAAAAAAAAAATGAAGTTTGAATTTATGAAAGTGACCCAATGTAAATATCTTAATATAGTGAGTAATATATTTTCATGTTTATCTCTGAAAAAGTTGGTTGCAAATTAAAATAACATGAAGGATGTAGCTTTTGTTTCTTTCTCAGATTCAAATCTGAAATCCCTCTATGTACAACCAGGACAACCATTGTTCATGAAAATCCTGTGATTAATACATTATGTATGAACAGTAATTACCACCAACAAGTTTTGACAACTATTTTCCATGTGTTAATCTCTAAACCTCTTGTTTTTATAACTTATACATCATTTCCTTTCCTATCACTGGTGTCTTTTATATACCGTCTGTATTTGTACAGGTTTGGGTGGTCTTGTTTTAACTTGTTCTGTCTGTTGTTAATTTCACAAAAATGTTAAATTATTGGTGATTTGACTCTTCACAGTAAATGATTCTCGGACACTCCTGTTTTTGCTTTTTGAAAGTGTCATACCGTGTGCTCATATTGAAATAGAAATAGTGCTTTATCATCAAGGTCAGGCAGCAACAATGCTGAATCCATACACAATATCGAATTGTCAAATCATTGAGAAGAGAATCTCTTTATTTTTGAATGAAAGAGATAACTTACAACTTACCTTAGGAATGTTTTCCCTTTTTAGTTGCTTACTAAACACTGGGGGTAGTAGTGGTAGGTATTTCACAATAAAATACGCAATTCTACAGTGCTTAAGTTTTAAATGTTAATTATTGTATTGTAATTCACCAGTTGAATCATTTAAATCATGAGTTAATCTAATATAAAAACAATTGTCTGAATTAGGAAGTACATGAAAAATTCATTTTGATATCAAGTAGTGCTTTTTGGCCGGATTGCAATGCAATCGGAGCTTATTTCTGAATTTCTTTGAATGTTAGAAGTTTTCCATATCAGGACCCATTTAAATACAGTTAACCTTTTCCCTTTCCATATTGGTTGAAATATTTCAATTTTGGAAATTTTATTTAAAATTTGTAATTAGGCGGGTTTTGTGTTTTGAATCAAAATAGAAATAGGATCTGCCTGGTTATGAACATTAATACATATAATAAATGTGATGAAGACTAGTGTTGGTTTATTTACCAGATATATGGTGGCACTTTGTTTTGTAATAAGTAATTTATTTATGTTTATTAAGTCTGGTTGATTTGATTTTCAGGCCCCCCAGGTTAGTTTTGGGATTTTGTTCTATGAATTCATATGTGTTCATTTATTGAGTTAGAATCATGGTTTTTATAACTGGGGAGAAATTTTCGTGAACATTGCTATAAAATTGGTTTTGTTGCCCTATAAGGGCAGTGTGGAGTGAAGCTGGTGTCAGAATCTATACTGTTAAGTTTCTATTTTGCATGTGGTTATGTTTTTCTTGGACAGTATTTTCCCATGAAAGGTAGATTCAGTGAGTTTATTTGTCATTTATTAGAACTAGTGTATGCAATGATAAAATAATCAGGAGAATAAGTCAATCCACAAAATACTGGGCTAATGAAAGGAAGCTTTACATTAGGAATAGTCTGAACAGCAATGATAATGTATGAAAATATCCCATTTCAATGCAACTTGGGCTTCAGATATGAATGTAAGTGTGGAAGGTTGTTACTCTGTTGTGCTAGAAATTGAGTGGCTATCATATAGTGTTTGTGTGTATGTGTCTGAAAGGCCAGAAACTACTACTGGTGAGTGTATGTGTGCAAACAAGCTGTATTTTGTGTGTTTTTGATGTGCTAACGATAAATTTGCAGATCCATGCAAATGGACATTTTGTGCCACCTCAGTGACTTGTTTAAACATTGTTAAATCATGGATGTTTATAGAAGCATTTGCATATCTTCATGATAAGCAGTGCTGTGATTTCATTGACTAATTTTATAAGGAATAATTCATAAAATACAAATAGCATTTCAACTGTATCATGTATATGATCATTGTAGAACAAAGAAACACATCAGCATATATCATACACAGTCTCACATTCTCATAAACACCTGTGATTTTGTGTTAAAATGTCAATGATGTCAATAAAACGAGAAAAATAAATGGCTGTTTATTGTTTAATGTTCACTATATTTCTATTGTACAGGAAAGAATCTACCACCGACTCAAAATGTTATGAAAGCTTAACACGAAGAACTGTAACACATCAATGTTCTTTAAAATAGGAAATTGGTCAGATTATTACGTCTTGCTGCTTAGAATATTCAAGGACCAATAATGTTATGAAGTAAAATTTAAACTTTGACAGAAATTCACAAATCATTCCCAACTGATGTTTGTTACCTGTCAGAAATAAAACCATGGAAAACAAGCCCTTGTTATCACCAAAAAGGTAGTTCCACCATTTGGTAAAGTAGTTAAAAATTACCATGAATCAATACAAATAAAATACATCTTTATAATCCCGAATCATAGCAATAAGTATTAAGTTGAAATTTTTATTCAATTTGACCCTTTTTGGCCCCGCTCCTTGAGGCTGGGGACCATATAATAAACAATTAAACTATAGTAAAGTTTACCCCCTCCTTGGGAAACGCGAGACCCAGGGTCATGAAATTAAAAAAAAATGTAAAGCAACTTAAGACCCTTCCATCTATGAAGAGTATTTGATTCTACCATATCTGGATCTTGAGAAGAAGATTTTTGAAATTTTAGTCTTTTTGACCCTGCCCATCAGTCAGGGCTGATTTGTGCATATCATCAAACTGCTATCCAATACTGATTATGCTAACCAAGTTTGAACTAATTCCAATGGAAATTAAACAATGCTGGTCCAAAATGTGATTTCCCTATATAAACTATTGTAAAGTTTACCCCCTCCCCAGGGTCATGAAATTCACTATTTTGGTAAAGCATTTTGAGAAATAGCGATAACAAACCTTCACTATCAAAATCCAAGATGACTGCCTGTCGGCCATGTTGTTTATCCGATCAGTCTCAAAAGTTGTCCTGCACAACTAGGGACCAAGGGGATCCTACATATAAAATTTTAGAAAGATCCCTCTAGTACTTCTGAGAAAAAGCCAAAGCAAACCTTCACTATCAAAATCCAAGATGGCTGCCTCTCGGCCATATGTTTATCTGATCAGTCTCAAAAGTTGCACTGCACAACAAGGGACCAATGGGAACCTACATATAAAATTTGAGAAAGATCCCTCTTGTACTTCCTGAGAAATAGTGATAACAAACCTTCACTATCAAAATCCAAAATGGCTGCCTGTTGGCCATATTGTTTATCCAATCGGTCTCAAATTCCCTGCACACCTAGGGACCAAGGGGAACCTGCATATAAAATTTGAGAAAGATCCCTTTTGGTACTTCCTGAGAAATAGCCATAACAAGAATTGTTTAAGGACGGACCACGGACGCAGGGCGATTTGAATCCCCCACCATCGGATGTATTAATGATATTGGCAGACTTTTAGCCCACCATCAGATGATGGTGGGCTTTAATCTGCTAATATCATTAATACAACTGCATTAATAAATTCCTTGTCATTTTGATGAAATACTATATTACTAATATACATATATGTAACTGCTAAAGGCCATCGAGTTGCATTGAGGAATCCCTCATTATTACAAGATAATCTAGACTTCAGGTTAACACTAGCATTCTACTTACAGCGGCAATGTAAATATAAAGAGGATATCCAAAGAGAAATGACTGGTTTGCATTACATCTAACAGCAGTTAATATATTCTAGATAGAGTACAATCTCCTCCTTGATACTCCAGGAGTTGCACTCACTTTTATTCTCTGCACCCCTGGCATATGCCGTGGCAACATTGAAGGCTCGGTGTGCACCACCTTGTGAATGAGACGAGAAGACAAGTTTGATCCTTTGATGAACATCAAAAGAATCTCGCGGTCTCGTAATGGTACAATAGACTCCTTTCGAAATCGGTTCTCACACCTTTGTAATGTTCAAAGGACCGGTATCTGCTAAGCGATTGGTCAGGTTTCTTTACCAGAGACCAATCAAATAGCTAGCCACATGCCTTCAATTTTGCTATGACATATTCCAGGGTTGCATAGAGTGTTAGTGAGCGAAACCCCTGGACATCCAGGATTGTACAACGAACATCAAGGAGTAGATAACAGCGGATTTTGAGAATGAAACGGATATAATCATTAGCTAAATATCTTGGGACATTGTCCAAAGTCCAGTTTGCTTAACAAGAAATTAGCCGAATATTTATACCGGGTAGCTAAACCTTCATGAATGGGGAGGAATCTTAAACAATCACAGAAGTACAAAAATATTCAGAAATTCTAGGTATTTTTTCAAAACTATGGTAAACCACTATAATCCTGAAAGATTATTTATGTGTTATTTCCTGGGGATACTCGTTCACAAACTTAAATCTCATGTGAATATTGATTATAACTGGTACTGAAGTGGCATCTTCAATTGCAATTCAACTATATATTTATGAATAAAACCTACAGACAAAGTTTAAAAATAAATAACTCATAAAAAAGGCAGTTCACAATAGCATTTTGAAAATGTATGAAAGGCCAAAAAAAAAAATGTTTCTGCTATCATTCTCAGAAAAAATAGGGTAGGTGGTTATGCCATTTTTTGTTTCTTTTGGAAAATATTTTACTATGCTAATATAGAGCAGGAGTTCTGACTTTAACAGTGCTTATCACTAAATGCCAATAAAAGCTTTAGGTTAGGCACAAAAATCTAGAGTAGGTAGGGTTGGCCTAATGCTAATTGGGCATTTAACAAACGGGCCCATTGTATGGTATAAATCAGATAAATTAAATCGATTTTTTTTTCAAAAGTGAAACTAGAAACTCAGCCTAATTAATGTTTATTATTTTACAGATAATGTAGCGCCAGTAATTGTTGTTATTATGACGCTCTTAGATTCTCTGAAAAATGTAATGATAAACGAACTGACACTGTGAAGATGTTGACTTTTGTTTGTACATTTTGTAAATGTTCCTTACAGGACACATGTTTTCATCAACAACTGATTATAATGTCATCAAGGATAACCTTCGAAAATATGACTCTTTGACAACTTTGCAATTAAACAGAATATTCAGACAGAAGATGCTCTCCGTTTAGCTGAAGAAAGGGGGTCATCTGTTCAAGGCAAAGTCCTTCCAAACTTGGGACATGACTTTTCAGAAAACATGTATCATTTCTGTTGTAGAAATCTATTCCAAGGATTGTCAGTATTATTATTTCTCTGGCTTTAGGATGTTAATCTGTATTAAGTAACTTCAAATCACGTCCAAGGTAAGAAGTTACTGAAAAGGAAAGTACCTATAACAAAATAGCCAATAAAATAAACAAAAACCAGCTTGGATTTGTAGCTTTGTCCATCGCTTAAAATTTGATCTACAAGCACATTCCTTTTTGAATGATCTAATGCTGGAATATCTTTCCGACGACAGTTACTAATGACATCCCATTTATTGACCTCTGACCTCAAGTCATCTCTGGTTTCTTCAGTGATGACCCGAGCAGCATACCAGCACAACACAGGAGATGATGAGAACAGCATCCTTGTTAAGATCTGCAAATAATTATAAACCTGGTATGTAATACTTTAGGTTCAAAACATAATATGATGAATTTGCAAATTATGGTTTTAATATATAACATGGATGACTCCATTGGTCTACAGTGGTGAAAGGGCTAAATACTAAATATACATCTAACTCATTAATCTTGTGATGATGAAAGTTTCCATTATGTACAGCATAACACAGTCCATTTGTCATTTCTGTCATTACCTCAAGATAGTGATGATTTATATTTCAAACAAGACTTGAAGAGGCCAAATGGACCTGTTCACTTTACCCAATCTCATTAAAATCAGATGTTAATAAAAATACCCACGGCTAATCATGCGGTACGTAATAATGAACAGCTGTATTTATTCAGATTGCACTTTACCTAGCTTTTATTTGATACTGTTTGCATGTTGCACATCTGTGACATTCGAAGTGGGTAAAGATTGATTTTTAAAATAAAGCCGATAGCTGGCAGGCAAAACAATGGGTTAAATATCATTACCTTTTCACTTTAAGGATCTTGTTGGGAGATTTTAACTTATATGGCTTATTTGACCTTTTAAGTTTTCAAAGTCAGTGAGTTATTTGGACTAACTTGATATTGTGTTAACCCTGTAAGTTACCTACCAAACATTTAGAAAATCTGTTTTACTTTTTTCACAAATTTAATCCCTGTTATCAAGGAAAGTAAGTCAAGGTCATTTAATAGCCTTTAACACCAGTAAGCTACAAAAATTATCAGTCTTGACCTCTGATTTTAAAAATTGGTTTAAGTTTATTATTCAATACACATAATTGTTACTCTAGAAACAATGGATTTTTTAACACATTTGACCCTGTGACCTTAACAGCGACCCAAGGTCATTTATTGAACAAAATTGTTAGTACAATGTACTTTACACCTGCATATACCAGACCAAGTATCAATTTTCTATGCCTCTTCATGTAGTTTTTGAGGAGAAATGGTTTAAGATTTAAAAAAAAAAAAAATGTGGGTCAAGGTCATTCATTTTGATAAACTATAGCCATTCATCCCAGCATGCTATTTGCCAAATTTCTTGACCCTTCAGTGTAAGTTTATAGTCCCTTATTGTATTATGAGTAATTATAAACAGTCATTCCAAAAATGTCTTACCTGTATGTGGGTAAATAGCCACCCAAACACCGTCAGGATCACAAGATGTCTTACCTGTATGGGGGTAAATAGCCAGCCAAACACCGGCAGTAACACAAGATGTCTTACCTGTATGTTGGTAAATAGACACCCAAACACCGTCGGGAACACAAGATGTCTTAACTGTATGCGGGTAAATAGCCACCCAAACACCGTCACGAACACAAGATGTCTTACCTGTATGTGGGAAAATAGCCACCCAAACACCGTCACGAACACAAGATGTCTTACCTGTATGTGGGTAAATAGCCACCCAAACACCGTCAGGAACACAAGATGTATGACATAGGGCAGCAACTTCCTGTTACTGAATCCTCTATCATTTTTTCTGACTGCATCTTTCTTTTTCAATTCTTCAAAATCCTCAATTAAATCAAGTGTATACACTGTTTTCCAATTCAAGCGAAGGTAGTAGACTATTGCTGAAACACTTAGCAATGTGACTGGAGTTGCCAGTAGGAAATTAGGAATCTGTTTGAATTGATAATAGTTCAGGAAGCCCACATTCCAATGGTACTTCTGAATGTGTGAATATGGAAGTGGAAGACTGTCACTGCACCAAACTGATGAATTATATGCCTGTATAGAATATCCTCGAATGATTCCGTAATCAAATACAAGATTATGCATCTCTGAAGGTGTGTCTTTGCAAAACCAATGATAGGCGAAATATTGATACACAGTGAATGGGGAAATACACAGTGATAAGTAAATGATAAACGGTAAAATAATTATCCAGATAACTGACCAGAGTGCAGTAGGTGTTGACCACTTATCTGCCTTTGTCATAGGGTAAAGAACTTGTAACAAACGAACAGTATCTTTGCACTTTTTATGAATGATTAGACCGGAATATAACAGTCCATTTGAACGTGCTAATGCACCAAGTCCAAATAAAACAGAAGCAGAAACCTTTGAATTTCTTTCAAACATGTGCATTCCAGAAAATATCAGGTATGAATAAATTATTTCAGAATACAGTGCCGACATAAAAATACTCGCCGGATTTATACAGAACAATAGAGCAGCCTTGTATGCGAGTAAGTCACTGTTCATCACCTTCTGTCCGACTTTGTACAGAATCATCACTGTTTTCACAAATAAAACTTGGTTTAGGACAAACCCTGATATTATCAACACTGACCTATATGTCAACAAGACTTGGAGAGGTAGAAACACAGTATTGCCTAGCATTCTGGTGAGCATTGGGTATAAGGGAAAGAATGCCAAACAGTTCTCATATGTGTAGCCATGTTCTGCTATGTGTAAGAAATAGATTCCATCCCAACGAATAAATCCCCCAAGGAGTGTGTGAACAGTGCTGTCCAGAAAGGTCCAAGCATCTCTGTCAGTGATTGGTGGATTGAAGACATCAGGTTGGTGGTCCGGCACACAGCTATTGAAAACCAACTGAAACAAAAGGGTATAATATAAAACCTGTGTACTGTGGTTCTTTGATTAGGTGATGCACATTTATTTTGTGTTTCCAGTTAGCCTACCCTAAAGATTTTAAGTCAATTTTCCAAGAAGCACTGTTAATGTCAAGAGCACTCCCTTATATCACCCACACAAAATTACTTTTTAAAGATAAAATTTGTAACCTACCTACCTACCCAAAATTTTTCAAACATGTTGCAGGAAACACACTTATCTTTTTGTTTGTTGTGATTATTTATCTATTACATGTAAGTAATGTGTGTTAACTGAATGAACTGAATGTAACATCGAAAATCTGAATAAAGAGAAGGGTACAAAAAAATAATAATTGAGAAATAAGAAAATAAATCTCTTTCATGCCCCGGGGTGCAGGATAGGGAAAATCCATCAAAGGAGTTTATGCACCAATTTGAAATCCCAAGGTTGGAATTTCTCTATCCTACACCCCTGGGCATGAAAGAGTATTTAACTTTAATTCTAATCACCAGAATTAACAGAAAATTGTGACACAATTTCTGCTTTGTGGCATCAGAATGTTCCGGATTTTCTGACACTTTTGACTTTAAACATATTTTATTAACCAAAATTGGAAAATAGGATTTGGCACAAGTTATTGCAACTTATGAAGCCATCTCCTTACAACAATAATTCAAAACAACAGATGATGATATAGACTGTCAATTACAATTCATAGAAGTATGAAGTGGTTTTTAAAGTAACACATACACATACAAAACAAAAAACATATTTTAAAGTCAAGTTTATAATCGAAACATGTTAAAATCTTCCACTGGATCTAATAAAAGTTTGCTCTTGTTTGAATACATCACAATATGTATCTAAAGCCAGATTTTCATTTCCAAACAGAAATAATCTCAACGTTGAATGTACATTTGAATGATTTATATGATCAAAAAGTACAGTACGAGCATTTGTATAAGGTTGACATTCAAAGAAGAAGTGATAGGTATGAAGAATGTTTAGTTTTCTGTCACCACGTAGGTAATGAGGGGGTTCTGTATAAGGTAGGTTGGGGACTACAGCTGATTTGAAAGATGAGAAAGACATGGATCTAATATTATAGTCTAAGAGTATTCCACATTTTTAATGAAGAAGGCAAGAAAGATAAACTAGTAGTAGAGAGTCTGAGTGGTAATTTTGTAGTTATCGTTATTTCTAAGAACTTGTCGGTTTTCTCCTACCTTAGTAGTGACACCATGTTATTGTTTTTCCATAAAGATATCACACACCTGAAACATATATTTTTTACCCTGGATATTCTGTCATGTATGCACAGGAATGAGAGAAATTATTTCATGATAGCCTAAATGTCCATTTTTTCATATTTTTGGATGTGTATAGAAGGTTTTACTCTCTGTTGCAAAGAATTGGCCCATCAGACTCTAGAGGAATCAGTCCTGTTTTGAGCATAGATTCCGATACTGATCATCTAAGAATAATTTTATCGAATATGCCCTTCAGCCCCTCAGTTGGGGGAGGCTGGACGGGTTCTTCAATCCCTTTATGAGTGAAATTCTTATTCTAATCATCTAAGGATCATGTATGAAATGTTGGTTAAAATCCAACAACAACTTTTAGACATGTTTTTCGAAGGTAATTTCATTCTGTGGCCCAGCTGTTAGGGGGAGGGGGGGCAGGATCCTCAGGAGTGTGTGTGTTTGCAGGGGACGGAAGGGGGGGGGGCAGTCCCAATACACTAGTCTAAATGTGGTAACGGGTTGTTTCGCCCTAAATCCTGTTCGCCCTAGATTGTTTCGCCCTAAAAAAAAGTCATAAATATCATGTTAAAAGTTTAAAAACTTATATTTCTCTTGAATCAAGGTATAATTACATGCTGGAAGAAGAAGAACGAACCTGTACATACTAATATCCGGAATATACTGCTTATTATCATTTTAATGCACCTGTACATGTTTTAACTTTAACTAGAACACTGACAGGTCATTAAGGGCCCCGTCTTGTGGCAATTATATCCCCCATAATCATCAACAATCAATCTGCCCATATAGCTGAGCTTGACGTTTGACATTTTGACTTCAAAAAGAATCGCAAGGAAGCAAAGTATACATTTTACATGTACTATGATGTGATGTGTTTCCTTCCACCTCCATATTTGCTGGGCTAACAGAAATGTAATTACCGGTGCAATACTCATTTGTTAGCTTTGATTTGTTTTAGGTCACCTCATATACCTTCTCCATCAAGAGCCAGGGTCAAATTCAGAGATCCACTTTGTCTTTGACCTTTGGACCCAAATGACCTTGACCATTAACCCAGTGACCCTGATCTTTGGTCAGTTGACTTATTCTTTAATTCCGACCAACTTTGCTTCTTAATATCATAACAAAATGTTCATCAGTGAAAAATACAACACTTGACCTTGACCCTTTGGACCCAGTAACCTGGAACTAAGGTCAGTTGACTCTGTGTTAAGTTCTGAACAACATTGCTTCATAATGTCATAACAAAATGTTCATCAGGGAAAAGGTACAACATTTAACATTGACCTTTGACCCAGTGACCTTGACCTTTGGTCAATTGACTCCTTGTTTAATTCTGAGCTATATTGCTTCAAAGTGTCATAGCGAAATGTTCACCAGTGAAAAGATACAAAATTTAACCTTGACCTTTGACCCAATGACCTTGACCTTTGGTCAGTTGACTCGTTGTTTAATTCTGATCAACTTTGCTTCATCATGTCAAAACAAAATGTTCATCAGTGAAAAGATGCAAAATTTGACCTTGACCTTTGAATCTCATGACCTTGACCTTTGACCTCAACTTTTTACCTCAGTGTGTCTCTTTGTTTAATTCCGAACAACTTTGCTTCATAATGTCATAGCGAAATGTTCACCAGTGAAAAGCTACAAAATTTGACCTTGACCCCTGACCCGATGACTTTGACCTTTGGTCAGTTGACTCCTTGTTTAATTCTGATCAACTTTGCTTCATAATGTCAGGTCAACATGTTCATCAGTGAAAAGATGTAAAATTTGACCTTGACCTTTGAACCTAATGACCTTGACCTCTGACCTTGACTTTTTACCTCAATGTGTATTTTTATGAACTTAACATATTGACCAAGTTTCATGTACATCGGTCAATAAATACTAAAGTTATCAGCAAAGGAACAAAATTTGTGGACAGACAGAGTGATTACTTTAGGGTACCCTTATATTCGATACGGAGCCCTAAAAATATAAAAAAAGTAATACTTATACAACTTCTATCATGATATAAACAATTAAAAAGCACTCTGTCACGTCAGCCACTTTATATCAAACATATTTGAATTATAACACAGTATTGAGAAATGCCCTATTTATGACAAGTGACATACTCAAAATTATCTACACAAATGTGCATATTAATTTTTATTGGTTGGTACTACATGTACCAAAACTTCTCAAAATGATCTCCTCATATTAGCCAAAAACAACATAGACATGTCCAGAAATCAAACACAGCGACGATTATGCGTACACTAGACTAAATGTGTTAACATGAACAAATGATATTGTTGTATACCCACAATGTAATTAAAATTACACCATTTTTGTTTCATTTCACTATTCTTATTTATTTCTAAAATTAAATTCACTATATGTTATAATGTGTGTCGTTGTGAAGAAAATAACTTATCCCGTTTTTGCTTTACAATGTACTTATAAACAACACAAACACATTTTTTTTTAATAAAACTGATTTTAATGACATGGAAGACTAAGAAGACTTAATTTGTGACTTAAAACAAATAAAAATGAAAAGAAAATACCAAACAATGTTTCACCCTTAGCGCGAAACAACCTAGGGTGAATGGGATTTGGGGCGAAACAACCCGGAACCCTAAATATAAGTGCCAAATATTTTATAAAGAAATTATTTTTGGACAAAACAACCTAGTGTGAAATGAGCTTGGGCGAACAGGATTCAGGGCAAAATTACATGACACCCAATATTGCATACTTGCAATATTTAGTCAGAAATTTTATTGCAGAACTAGACTGGTTTGATTGTCTACAACCAGGAAGCTTCAATTTGTAGAGTGTCTGTCTAAAGTTTGAAGGGTCCTGGTCCATGTGTTCATATCCCAGTCTGGCTGTGCATTTTTTTTTTTCTCCTTTTACAATGTTTGCGAGCTTGCCAACCCTTGTGTCAAGTACTGGGTGAATGCCTAGCAAGGTTATACCCGAGTCTGTATTGGAAACAGTATTGTCTATAGGGCAAAGACTGAGAAAAAGGAGGGAGAAATGAGGTGAAACTGGACTAGGTCGATCATTGGTGACCAGTTAGCTGGATTGGTAGAGCGTCTGTCTAGAGTTTGGTTTGTCCTTGGTTCAAATCCCTGTCTTTCTCCTGTTACAGATTCAGCCAGGCCACATTTGGACCCCAAGGCTACATTCACGTACGGTACCCCGGTTGAAACGGTACATGTGGCGTAGAAATTTTCCCCGATAAACGAACGCACTTGGACCGTTCTTTAAGCAGAGCTAAAAATGCACAGTTTCGGAGAATAAAAAACAATTTATCAAGAACAATATGCCCTTCTTTCATCTGTCCACTAAATTACATAACGTATCTTAAAAACTACATGTGACTTGACATTGTTTAAGAAAGAAAGAACGCAAATTGGCAATAGTCAGCATTTTAGTTTCGGTCAGATAATCTGGTCCCTCAATCTACATGTACCAAATTTTCCTGAGGTCAGCCTCGGTCCAGATCTGTACCTGTCATTTTCTTTACAGGTTCAACCCGATACGCGAATGTACCCCAAGCTTCCACATGCACGTGTCGAAATTTCCCGAGGTTAGCCTCGTTTCCGATCTGTATATCTACTGTTTTCATTCAGGTTCAGCCGCATGAAACTGCTGGAGCAATACGAAAAAGTGGTACAGGGGCCTGTTTGTTTATGTTAAACAACCAGTTTGTCTACTAGCTTTTAAATATGTATCTTTCGGGTGTAAATCCTGGCGGACGATGCAAATGTTTATGCAGGCCTTGAAAGGCTTTATCAATGTCCGAAAGCAATATCAGATTACAAGATCCGACCTTATTTCTTACATGAACCACTGTTGTCAATCTGGTTCAACCGTTTATACCATGATAAACGAAAGCGTCCTAGGTGAAAAAAGTGGCGTGATTACAAGCCTTGTGTGCCTCTTGAATAATGTAAACAAACGGAGAAGGTAAACGGTTGTTAGCACACTGACTGTCATAGACCTTACCTTGCATATTATTTGATATTTACTGAAAGAATAACACCATCAACATGACTGGAAAGAGTTCTAAGTTACCTACTTGCATGCAAAACAGAGCAAAACGTGAAAAGACAGCAAACCACCAGAGTTTCGCCTCTGCGTCCGCCATCTTGCCGATATGGCCATCAGTTTTCGTTACACGTCTTGTGATTGGTTCTTTTCTGCGAATTCATGTTATAACACTTTTGATTGGTTCATGTTGTTTTTTTATTTAGAGCACCAGAAGCATATCGGAGGTAAAGAATAATATTACCAACAGCAGTTCACCATTTACGTTTTGTATTTCGTGCATTGAACATATTTTCTTTGTGTTTTTATCGCCTCCTTCCTAGTGCGTGCATGGTAACATAAGTAACAATGAAATCATAACAGGAAAAAGACAATGCACGCGGCTCAACCAAGATGTAAACAATATAATATTCTTCTTGATCGTTTTATAGATGACTGTTGCTAAAAAGTGAATATAATGAAAGACGATACATTTTGTAACTTGCACTATGTCCTCATGGAGCTCGCGGTACTGGCGACATAGTTGTTAAGGTTCTATTTAAACTTTGAACAGTGCACAGGCATCTGCGTCTGCTTAATCAGGAGTAATCAGTAATTAGCCTTGAATTATGTCAATAATAGTAGTAATAAAAAATACTCTGTAGCCTAACATGCCTAAGTTAAGTCAACAGTTAAAGTATGGGTATGAGGGATATAGCAAGTTTATGATCCCCCGAGGCCAGGACTATTCCCCGAGGCGAAGTCGAGGGAAATAGTCCTGGACGAGGGGGATCATAAACTTGCTATATCCCGAAATACCCATACTTCAACTGTTTTATTATACCGATACAAACACTCCCTTACAATATTCTAAATATTATTAGACAACAAATTTTCAACAGTTGGGCACTTTATTAACAAAACTAAAATTTTCTTGAGAATCAACATCAGAAAAAAACAGTTTTCGGAATAACATGAAATAAAGGATATCACATGTACAATAAACAATAAATCACAGTTTTTGCTTGAAAATTGGCCAACTGTCTTTTGCCTCCAATATGTCCGACAACTCTCTCTCGTCCAACACAGAAAACCTGGGGGTCGCCATTTCTGTTGTCGTCTGTCAACAACAATGCGAGGTGAAGGACGGGCCAGAAATTACCGTCTCCGCTGGCTGGAAATTGCCGACGTCATTCGATTGCGCTGATTGGTCAACATTCGGTCAGGCCCCGCCTACGACGTCACTCAATTTCCCGCATTTTCCGAGGGAAATAGTTTCAAAACTATCGCACCCCTCCAGACGAACTATTTCCCTGGCATGCAGTTAGAGGGGAAATAGCTTGTTAATGTGGTTACTTTTGTATAGTGTAAAATAAGTAGAGGTATAATAATTAATATTATATTATGATGTTTATTTCTTGATAGAACTTAGAGTCTTGTGCTGGAATCTGTATATATGTAAAAATATGATATTGTGTTGGTATATTAAATATGAAAGTCTTCTCTACCCTACTAACAGTTACTGACTATATAGGTAGGATATTTTACATAATAACACAATATCAGGATAGTAGGGAGGAGAAATCTACTTAATCTTTTTTTTAAATACCAGACACGAATGTCTGTGGTATTACCGAAAACATTAAACTGTGGACTACGAGTGATGAAACCTGTCACAGTTTTGGGAGAAACAATAACATTATTTTTATATCCTATTTGCTATTTTCATTGCAGATTCATAATGTAAACAGACAATGAAAGGGAAAGGCAAGGGCATTATAGACAAGGATTGCCCTCTACAGTTCCCAGATCTGCAGCCAGTAGACCATGCCACAGAATGCCCTAAATATACAGCTGGTAAAACAAAATCATATAAATATCTGCTGGTTGTTTGGGTATATCCTTAAATTCCTTTTTTACATGCAAAAAGTCTTAACACTAATAATACTTAACATAGACTACTTACACATATTTATTAATAAAAAATTAAGGGAAATACAAAAGAATAAGATATTGGAAGAACAATTCCGAAAATTGAGTTATTCATATTATATAAATATCACTTTTGTCTAAAAACTAACTGTTGCATTGATTTTATTTGATGGTTTTGTGTTTATCCTGTATTCTCATTGATTTTTTTTGATGGTTTTGTGTTTATCCTGTATTCTCATGGATTTTATTTGATGGTTTTGTGTTTATCCTGTATTCTCATTGATTTTTTTTGATGGTTTTGTGTTTATCCTGTATTCTCATTGATTTTTTTTGATGGTTTTGTGTTTATCCTGTATTCTCATTGATTTTTTTTGATGGTTTTGTGTTTATCCTGTATTCTCATGGATTTTATTTGATGGTTTTGTGTTTATCCTGTATTCTCATGGATTTTATTTGATGGTTTTGTGTTTATCCTGTATTCTCATGGATTTTATTTGATGGTTTTGTGTTTATCCTGTATTCTCATGGATTTTATTTGATGGTTTTGTGTTTATCCTGTATTCTCATGGATTTTATTTGATGGTTTTGTGTTTATCCTGTATTCTCATTGATTTTATTTGATGGTTTTGTGTTTATCCTGTATTCTCATTGCTGGCAGGTGGATATGTAGTTGTTCATCCTTTTTTAGAGTTCTGACATAGTCTGAAGATTTAGAGACGTTTTCAATGATCTTGATTGGAAATCAGGATATCACTATCATCATTGGGAGTGAAACCTTGAAGCTGTTGGTTTTACCTGTAATTGAAAACTCCAAGAGTAGAATAACCTTTTTTGACATCTGTATGAAAGGGCATTTTAAACCCAGAATTATAGTGGAGGAGGGGACTGATTTTGGATAAACTTTGTCTTCAGCTCCCTTTCCTTGATCAGTAGACTTGCATTTAGCTCTATTTCAGCCCTATTTCTGTCATGGCACGATCGGGGGTTTGTTTATATATTTACAAATGTTTCCTAGTTCTCTCTCATGTCTTTCCAACAGATGATGCTCAATTCTAGATCTAAATATAAAGTGAATACTAATTTATGATTTTTATGTTAGCAGCCACTATAAATGTTACAATATCTGATTTTAGACCATAACCTGATTAATGGTAACATTATTAAATGTCACAGTTCCACACATGAAATGGCATATCAGATACCTGTGTGAACTGCTTTTGAGCTTACAGGATTAAAATAAATATCTTTTCTTTTATAGTTCTGACACGGTCTGAAGATGAGGGGATAGGTCTTGAGGAGCTTGAGGTCATACAGAGTGACCTGGAGACTCTGTTGGCATCAGCAGGACTGAGATTAAAGCAGCTGGAACATGAGAAGCAGATCCTGGTAAACTGGCAAGATAAGAAGGACAAGAAAGGGCTCACTCCAGGGAAGGTGGTATGTTGTGTAGTGAGCTCACTACAGGAAAATGTTAAGTTTTGTAGTGAGCTCACTACATGGAAGGAGGTAGGTTTTGTAGTGAGCTCACTACAAGGAAGATAATGTATTGTGTAGTGATCTCTCTACAGGAAACTGTTGGGGTTTTGTAGTAAGTTCACTACATGAAAGGTGGTAGATTGTGTAGTGAACTCACTATTTAGAAAGTGGTATTTTTGTGAGGGCTCGCCCCAGAAGGCAAAGTAATATCTTTTTTAGTGGACTTGCTACAGGAAAGTGATAATTGGTGTATTGAGCCCACTACAGTAAATGTGGTAAGCTGTGTGAAGCTCACTCCAGGAAAAGTGGTAGGTTGTGTGAGGGCTCAAACCAGGCAAAGTGGTAAGTTGTATATAGTGGGCTCACTACAGGGAAGGTGGTCGATGTGTGGTGGCTTACTGAAAATAAATACTGAAAATTATTGAGGTCAATATGAGGTTTGCAGTTTGTATGGTCGGCTCATTCCAGGGAAAGTGGTAAGTTGTGTGTTAGGCTCATTCCAGGGAAAGTGGCAAGTTGTGTGTTAGGCTCATTCCAGGGAAAGTGGCAAGTTGTGTGTTAGGCTCATTCCAGGGAAAGTGGTAAGTTGTGTGTTTGGCCCATTACAGCAAACTTGGAACTTTGTAGAAGTGTTGTGGAAAAAGTGGAGTAGAAATTGACCAGCATGATAGATACAAAATATTTTAAGCAATGTACAAAATAATTCAATTTGTATATGTTTCAGAAAATTAAAATATATCTTCTATTTAATTGCAAAATAAATGCAATAACACAGAACTCACATGTTTAAGTGAAGCAGAACAAATTGTTTCAACTTGATTGAATTCTATATCACTTTCCTTGAAAATTAACAGAAAAAATATAAAGATTTCCTGCTGCATAGGAAAGTAATTATAGTATCTTAACCTTCCTTTCAGCAACCTGAGACACCTACTTCAGGTAAGAGAGGGAAAGTTGTTGAGGAGAAACCAAGCAAGAAGTTCAAGGGTGCTACAGAGACCTCAGGGAAGGGAGCAATTCACCAGACCCCTACAGGGCCAGGGCGACCAAAGTCGAAAATCAACCAGGTGGGATAGTGCCTACAGGAATGATAATCCCGTTAAGACATTTTTTGTTTTGTACAATATATTTTCCTGATTAATTATCTTTATTATACAAATGTTCTGCATATGGCCAGACTGCAATGACCTGTTGTGTGGACCTCCAATTACTATATTGATCACAGACAGGTCAATGTTTATATAAGGAATATAGGTAAAGTTAATGTTTATGTAAGTTTATAGAATTGAAGAGTTATGAAAATATCGGAGATTTAATATCATAGTTCAAGGGTCTATTAAGGTAACAGATTGCTGATGACTGTCCCAAGAATTCTTCCACGTAATGTATCAATAATGCTAACTAGTTCAGTTTATTTGCCATTTTTAAAAGCACATTTCATTCAAGGAAGAAAACTCTGTCCATTTTTAAACAAAATGTTTTTTTGAAAAGAAAAAGAATATTTCACTCAAATTTTGATTTGCAACACATACTGTATAGTTGGTATTATTCTCGAGGGATTTTACTCGGCTATATTTACCGCCATATTTCCATGTTTTGGCAGTGTTACCAATGCAATTTTACTTCAAACCTTACCATACCAGGGTTGTTATAAAACAATTAGGTAAAAACAAACTTCTACACACAAAAATGGTTATGTTACCCAACCTGTCCCATCCTAGATTTGTTTACCCCTAACTTTATTTTTTATTTTTATTTTTTATAAAAGACAACAAATTGATGAGATCCTTTCATGGAAGGTGCCAAGATCCTTCTAGGATTTCTTGTATAGCTATGATGGATTAATGAATACAATACCGCTTAAATTAACTCTTAGTTATTTCTGTACATAAATCTCATTCTATTAATATGTTGACCTTTTTTCGTTTCTAATCAGTTTTTTATCATTTGTCCACCAGACAAAGGGAGAATATGACAGTGCTGCTGATTCTCCTATTGACTTGCCCAAATTACCAAAGAACGACGCTGTTAACCGCTTCTGGGTATCTGTGGAGCCCTACTGTGCTGACATCACTACAGAGGATATCAAAGTCCTAGAGGACCTCCTCATTAGTCACCAAGATGATGCTGACTTTTTTAAAGTGCCTGCCCTTGGAAAACATTTCTCTGACAGATGGGCTGAGGAAGACCTCTTGGAGGAACAGAGAGATGGTATATTCTCCAAAGTTCATTCATATTTACCTGAAATAACTGTACTAAACAAAGTGTAGCTGAATTAATAAGCTGATATAATTGTCATTGTAAATATTTACAATTAATAAAATGACAATGTACGGTACAATGTACGGTACAATGTAATTGTAATTTGCCATGTACTTTAGAGAACATACACTCAATGTGTAGCCAAAATAACTTTTCAATTGAATTGCCATCCGCTTCATTTTTAGCTCCTAAGTGTCCGTACACTTTACTCGTCATATGTCTGAAGAAGGTGACAGTGTAAATATCTCACTAATGTAATCAAAACATCATGATAGAGCTTTGAAAAGTGTTTCAACTTCATTATTTAAAAAAACTTCTGAAACAGGTTTCAATATAAAATTTGTTCCATGACTCATCAATGAACAAAGCTTACTGAAGTCTCCTACAATGGAAATATTGCTTGAGGCCAATGCTGAAAAAATTGTATTTGAAGAAAAAGTTAATTTGTTTAGAGGACAGCAGTAAACCATATAATTTACTCCCTATGGTCTAGCCTTACAAAAGAATCACCCTTGTATACTAATGGGTACTGCAGACGGATATATACAGTGTGACATCACTAATGCAGCCACTTTCATTCCAAGAAAGAATGACATGATTGTAGGATGACTGGAATGGTTGGATAAGTTATAGAATAGCGCCAACCACCAGACATGAGCTGACTAATGTTACTGTACAACTTGACTTGTGATGGCTGATACAAGATTAAAGAAACTTTATTATACATCTGTACATAAAATACAAATAACATTCGCTCTGGTGAGCTATTACCATATTTACCCTGCAATTAGCCCAGGAACCAAAATATTAACTCTGCCTCTATGAGATGGGCATATCAGAGTGAAAAGCAGCAGCCTTTGTCATTAACTTTATTATACTGTCTTGGATATGAATGGGATTATTACCAGACGTGTGTTATTGGCAGATAAATAGAGTTTTGTGGATAAAGATAGTTTCATCCCATTTTAAACTTGTCATTGTGTTGAAAGGAGCAAATGAAAATGGGTTGAACATTTTTACAAGAAGTCAGACTCAGGTATACCTCACATATTATGTTTGTTGTGTCATTGTACCTCCATACTTCAGCCATATCATCGCAGGTCCAGTGAGCTAAAAGTGAACTCATGATTTTTCTTAAAGAATGTTTAAGAATAAAAGCATTCAACTTCCATTTGCTTTCTTCTGTATATAAATGTTTTATTTAAATATTCTTTTACATTTAATCAATCCTTCATTACAGATTCACTGTCTCAATTCTGTAAAATGCTGTTTTAGGGGCAAAGATAAATGACAGGCGGAGAGGGAACAATAACAATCACAGTGGCTGTCCAGATGTTACGACCTTGCTAAAGAAGGCCGAGCAGAGTAATGTGGATGAGTCTCCGTTTGGGCCCCTCACCCAGCGATTAGTGTCCGCCCTCATTGAGGAGAACATAATGACACCAATGGACGATGCCATGACGGAACTAGGTGGAGGTAACTTTAATACTGTCTCGATGATAGTGTATACCGGGACATTTTCCCTGCATTTAAATTTTTCGCCTTTTTTCACCTTCCATGGTTGAGATATCAAGGATCTGATGTAAAACATGTTCTCTATGCAAAAGTGAACCCTCAGTTCATTAAAAATATCAGTCTCAACAATTAATTTACAAACTAAGGCTTATAGTATCAAGTTGAATGCTGTTAAATGTAAGACAAAAGTGAAATACTTAAAATTGTTAAATGATCTACACTACAATTGTACAGTCTCTAGATAAACCTACCAACTTAAAGTTTGTTATGATTCCATAACACTTAGAACTAATACACGTGCATTTGAATGGTCTTTCAATCATACTGTTAATCTGGGACCAATCATGTTGTGACATAAAATTGAAACTTTGACAGAAATTTCTGAATGGCTTCTGATTGATACTTGTGTAACTGTCTGAATTGGTAACCATAGAAAACAGAACCTTGTTCCTTGTTCCCCATTCAGTAAAACTGATTAAAATGCATAATAAACCAAAAGCAGCCACCCAGAAAGTTAAAAAAAGCACGTTTCCCTTTGTTATTGTAATTATAGATATAGGTAATTAAATGCACATTTTGAATGGTCATGAAGGTTTGTAAACCAGTTGCTTAGAAATATTTTTTCCGTGGTATGCTATTGTATGTACAGCTTGATTGTCCCTCTCAGGAAGAGTTAATATTGATCATATGGGAAAATACTGATTTGTGCAGTTTCTGATATGTGCTTTGCATATTGTAATGTAAGTAGCTTGTGCTCGAAATGTTTGCTGATATTTTCACCCGAAATGTTTGCTGATATTTTCACCTCACTTTAAAAATTGCTTAAAACCAGTCATAAAATCACCCTTCAATACCACCTACAACATGTAATAATACTGGAAAAACTTACCTGCCTCAGATAGGTTGAGGAAACCAAGATTTATTCAAGAAAGTAAATTCTGAAAAATATCACATTTTTTTCCAGAGTCTGCAGACGAAGCTCCAGCTATATCTCCTAGAGCATTAGCCAAGCAGTTAAATATTGGCAACCCTATACACTTAGAGAAACGTATCAAACGTGAACTGGAGGAGCAAGGTAACAAGCAGTTAAATATTGGCAACCCTATACACTTAGAGAAACGTATCAAACGTGAACTGGAGGAGCAAGGTAACAAGCAGTTAAATATTGGCAACCCTATACACTTAGAGAAACGTATCAAACGTGAACTGGAGGAGCAAGGTAACAAGCAGTTAAATATTGGCAACCCTATACACTTAGAGAAACGTATCAAACGTGAACTGGAGGAGCAAGGTAACAAGCAGTTAAATATTGGCAACCCTATACACTTAGAGAAACGTATCAAACGTGAACTGGAGGAGCAAGGTAACAAGCAGTTAAATATTGGCAACCCTATACACTTAGAGAAACGTATCAAACGTGAACTGGAGGAGCAAGGTAACAAGCAGTTAAATATTGGCAACCCTATACACTTAGAGAAACGTATCAAACGTGAACTGGAGGAGCAAGGTAACAGGCAGTTAAATATTGGCAACCCTATACACTTAGAGAAACGTATCAAACGTGAACTGGAGGAGCAAGGTAACAAGCAGTTAAATATTGGCAACCCTATACACTTAGAGAAACGTATCAAACGTGAACTGGAGGAGCAAGGTAACAAGCAGTTAAATATTGGCAACCCTATACACTTAGAGAAACGTATCAAACGTGAACTGGAGGAGCAAGGTAACAAGCAGTTAAATATTGGCAACCCTATACACTTAGAGAAACGTATCAAACGTGAACTGGAGGAGCAAGGTAACAAGCAGTTAAATATTGGCAACCCTATACACTTAGAGAAACGTATCAAACGTGAACTGGAGGAGCAAGGTAACAAGCAGTTAAATATTGGCAACCCTATACACTTAGAGAAACGTATCAAACGTGAACTGGAGGAGCAAGGTAACAAGCAGTTAAATATTGGCAACCCTATACACTTAGAGAAACGTATCAAACGTGAACTGGAGGAGCAAGGTAACAAGCAGTTAAATATTGGCAACCCTATACACTTAGAGAAACGTATCAAACGTGAACTGGAGGAGCAAGGTAACAAGCAGTTAAATATTGGCAACCCTATACACTTAGAGAAACGTATCAAACGTGAACTGGAGGAGCAAGGTAACAAGCAGTTAAATATTGGCAACCCTATACACTTAGAGAAACGTATCAAACGTGAACTGGAGGAGCAAGGTAACAGGCAGTTAAATATTGGCAACCCTATACACTTAGAGAAACGTATCAAACGTGAACTGGAGGAGCAAGGTAACAGGCAGTTAAATATTGGCAACCCTATACACTTAGAGAAACGTATCAAACGTGAACTGGAGGAGCAAGGTAACAGGCAGTTAAATATTGGCAACCCTATACACTTAGAGAAACGTATCAAACGTGAACTGGAGGAGCAAGGTAACAGGCAGTTAAATATTGGCAACCCTATACACTTAGAGAAACGTATCAAACGTGAACTGGAGGAGCAAGGTAACAGGCAGTTAAATATTGGCAACCCTATACACTTAGTGAAACGTATCAAATGTGAACTGGAGGAGCAAGGTAACAAGCAGTTAAATATTGGCAACCCTATACACTTAGAGAAACGTATCAAATGTGAACTGGAGGAGCAAGGGAACAGGCAGTTAAATATTGGCAACCCTATACACTTAGAGAAACATATCAAACGTGAACTGGAGGAGCAAGGTAACAGGCGGTTAAATATTGGCAACCCTATACACTTAGAGAAACGTATCAAATGTGAACTGGAGGAGCAAGGTAACAAGCAGTTAAATATTGGCAACCCTATACACTTAGTGAAACGTATCAAACGTGAACTGGAGGAGCAAGGTAACAGGCAGTTAAATATTGGCAACCCTGTACACTTAGAGAAACGTATCAAACGTGAACTGAAGGAGCAAGGTAACAGGACATTTTCCACCTCTAATGACAATATAACCACCATCAAAATATTTATCTGGCAATAAGCCCATGTCTGCCAATAAGCCTACCGCTATCTGTTACAGTTCAGTAGAAATGCCAAGAAATATTATTTTATTGTCATGTAATAAGCCCATCCTCCTACTTTGAATCCGAGGTTAAGTTGACCTTGTTGGTTTATTTCAGGATCAATATAGCACAAACTGTAGAGCTAGTCTGTTCATCTATGTACATGCTTTCTCATCTGTAGAAGTTGTCTGTATGAGGTTTCATTAAGATATGCATCAGTCCTACTGGTCCTGTTGATAGTTTAACATGATTTTTGCTGTTTCTGTACATAGAGAATACAGGTGTTTTGAAGGTATGCCAGAATTTTAATGTTGTTGTTGCCCGTTGGCTTGCAAAAAATGACAAATTTAAGTAAAACGAATTCATTTGATAATAAGGTTAAAATTGTTTGTTTAGTTAAATTGTGAACATTGATAAATGTTCTGATGTACAGGTATACTGGACATGGAAGAAAAGGTAGAGGACAACCCTGATGATGAGATTCTAACGGAGCTACGTCAGAAACAACAGGACCTAAAGGCAATCAGTCAACACAACATTGTCGTAACAAAGAGTCTACTGGAGCGGGCCAAGGAGGAGATGAAAAAACAGGAAATAAGGAAGAAGTTGGCTGCTGCTGATGCTGAGGTATTTAATAGAGACAATATATATGGCTTCATAGTTTATTGTACATATTCAACCTAATGAAATGAAACCAATGTTATTTTTTATTCACAATCCCTCAAGTTATACCTATTATTCCTAAAATTATATCACAATCCCTCAAATTCTGCCACAATCCCTCACATCATACCATGATCCATTATACCACAGTTCCTAAATCGCTGGACTGATACTTGTCCTTTGAAGATTACACAATGCTGGTCAATTTTACCATTATGTTGCCACATGGTTATCTATACATACATAAAGAATCAAACTAATATACTAGTATAATCAACATTTCTTTGGTCAAAACAGTGTTTAGCTTTGTGCCTTGGTCAGACTTTGGGTAAAGCTCCAATTTCATGAAAGTGTGAGTAGTTAAATGTGGGTTTAACAAGCATTTCCTAGTGCAAAAGATATTAAGGAGGCTCCACCCTTTCGCAATTAGCCAGCAGAATTCAATGAAAGGTTCACATAATGGTTATGTCACTATGTAGAGTTGATTTTATGAAAATCTAAGCATTCCGATAAACTGGGGATTTTTTGTAAAAATACAGAAAAAATTATTTTTTGTCAAATTCAACGCTTTCACCTTTTTTTGAGCGTGTGGCATTATTCAAAACTATCACAACAATAAAATAATGAAAAGAAACATTGCTAATCAAATATCTACAAAATGTTACAAAAAACGTTTTTTATTGAAATTGTATGGATAAAAGTTACTAAATACAATCTTAAGTGCAAACAGAACATATAGTTTCATACAAAAAGAGTGAAAAATTGAACCAAATACACACTAACCTTTATAATTCATTTATTTTACATTTTACATTAATTTTGATCCTGATGAGAGTTCTCTACCTTGAAAAAAATCGGAACTTTTTGCAGAGGGATAGAATTTATACAATGACACTTATTTTATTTACTATTAAATTGAATTACTATATTTAATTGTCAATTTACTGTTCTTTTATGGAACAAAATTACTCTCAATCATGTTACATCTTGGACATCATTCCATAGCCCGCTTACGCATGGTACATTAACATGTCAGGTACATATGTAACCGTAGGCTATCGCATGGTATGCCGTTATTACGTGCTCGCTCATGCACATGCATTTTATAGGGATCCTGATATTTTACAAACCACTATTTTCACATAGTATTGTGATTGCATTTGTGAACCGATTTATCTGACAGAGCATAACTCGCTGCTTGACAACAAAAGTCGTAGCGACCAAGAGCTTGTGAACTACTGTTAGCACGTGATACGTACGTACACGTGAGGTCGGTAAACAAAACACATCAGTCTGCATTCAATGCATTTCATATATATAAGACCCTCTGATCGTATGTCAGTGTTTTCCTGTGAGTTAATTAATATCTTAGTATCATAAGCTTTATTTCTGAAGTACGTGTAATTGCACATGATTTCCAAGTTATTAGTAAGTCTCGATATCGAGTGTTGACATATCATCATCACGCACGTATACTATTGTTTACCCGGTGTTACTATAATTTACACTATGGTAATGGAATGCCCAATACGCAATACAGAAATGACGACAAGAAAATACGACAAGAAAAACATGTGTATTACGAAGGGTGGAAAGTCCTTAACAGTTCTGAAATAATTCTTGAAGTTTTGATTTTAGTTCATAAAAAAAATATTTTGAAATATAAAGTGATATTTTGAAACAGATAAAGGTCTTGGTGACATTATCACCTGAATATGCATCATGACCTGCTGAAGTCAATATATTACCCAAACCTATATTATATTATACTATTATAGTAAAGTCACATAATAGCTATCCCCAACCACAGATGACAAAATAAAGAGAGGTGGCAGGTGAGTGTTTGGTGAAAAATGCTACCTTATATGCCTTTTGGATTTAAGTGGTGTTCCTGAAATTAAGGTGCCTTAATGTGACATCATTCATGTACCAGTAAGTATATCATATTTTCATTAGATCAAATCTGATACGCTAATTGAATATAATTATACGTTTTACAGGTATTGGATGCTTACAGGAAAATCCAGGCAGCTCGTCAGAAAAAGAAAACACCAACAAAGAAGGAAAAGGATGCTGCGTGGAAAGCGCTCAAAGAACGAGACGCTTTAGTGAAAGTTTTAGCTTCAAAAAACAAGTGATCTGTTCTACATTCTAACATTTTGGAGTCCATGAAAACTTTTTACGCAAATTATTTAGTATACGTTATACATCTACTGGTGAAAGGTTAATCCTGTTTGGGCAGGAGGTGACAGCAAATCATCATAAGTCATACGATGAACAAAATCAATCATACTTAGACACATATTATGTACATATTGATTTTAAGTATACTGTATCATTCATTTTTTTATTGCAATTATTTTGCATAGTACTGTTTGAAATTATTTTGTAAAACATTTGTAAATAATATTTATTTTCATTTCAATGTCTTATTGTAAAGAAAATATATATACAAATTTTTCATCTTTGACCATTTCTCATTCATCTTAAAATAATTCATGTAATATGTCCATATTGAAACTATCAAATATCACTGTATATCTTTAAAACAGCATTTGATTGGTCAGTCAAAAGAATTTGCGATCATATTCCACAATATACTATTACATATGAAGCCATCGCATGAAAACTCAATTTGTAACGATACTTTGTGTATAAGTTCAAATAAAAAATAGGTAAATGCAAATAGATGTACATTTCAGTAATATGTACAGTCCCAGCAAAGGTATTACAATTTTTTTTTCTGCATGATTATTTTACCGTACTTAACTGGTAATAATCTAAGCCCACCATATCTATAGCATCTGTAGGTACGCCGACAAATGCTTCGTAGTCATTGTAATAAGCAACCCCTCCGTTTCCACCTCATAGATGTGTGTCGGGCCCCATGGGCTTATTGCAGGATAAATCTTCTTTTTTCGTTGTTGTACAAAGTTTGACATTGATTGCAGCACATTTCAGCAGAGGCAGCCGACTTTTTTAACTTTAGCTGATTACGTATTCAGTGTGTGGTTGTTGCTTTCTTTTATTGCCTATAATATCAGAAATGTTAAATCATTATCTGTTGATAAGTAAAACAACTAATGGTTATCTCAAACTCTTTACAAATTTTATTTCATGAGTTCAAACTTTAATGGAAAACAACTCCCAAGTTCTCAAGTAAGGATTGAGCTTCACATATGATTTTCCTTATTTTGAAATAACTTAAAATTCCTTTAAAATTGAATTCTTCACACAGAAGATAATAATTCATAATATAATGAAATCTATCACTTGCAACAGTTTTAGTGTGAATCTGAATTTTTCAGATTTTAAAGTGTTGGAAATGGTAATAATATGACAACATCAGCAAGAACTTTGTAATCTTTGAATATCAGATAATTATACACAAATCATTTAAATAACTGTACAGTCTACATATGGATAGGTTTTTATGTGAAAAATGAATCTTGCAAAGTGTTACAGAAATACATAAAAAAAGGAACTGAGATTTTCCTTTTTTGAAACCTGCAAAAATATTGATCCTGAAAATTTGCCCAGAGTAAAACCAAAAAATAATGAATGGTAGAAAATAAAGATTTATAGACATGGGACTACCCCTCTAATCCTCTATACTGAGATTTGCTATCTTCACAGTTAATCTGCTAAAAGGCTATTTCTTGTGCAATAAATTTTTAAAAAAATCTGTTAAACTTGAAACATTATCAAACAAATTTTGTCAGAAGTTCTCTAAAATGTGCAATGTTTTGATAGAACAGCGCAATATTTGTCCAAATTTCGGTCCATAGATACTCCCAGAATGAGTCCATAAACAGATTTGATTCCTTTTTATGGCGACATTGAAGCATGAGAGGATCATAAACGTTAAAGGACTTCTTGTGTTGACTATGTAACGTAATCATGTCATCTTCAAATATTTTCGTAAATGGAAATAAAGACGTAACATGTGACATTCTTCTATTCTTTTTTTACTTTGCATTAAAGCTACACATTCAAAACGTATCAAGTGTCTTTCCATGAAACTGTTCTGGTGCTCAAACATGGATTCTGTGCTCAAACCTGCTTCTATGTAACCCCCTTCAATCATATCAAACAACCAAAACATCAAGGTAAACATTGAAAACAGTATTCAGCTTCAACTCTCTTCATTTTTTCCCCAAATCATTGACAAACTTAGATCTTTTTATTCATTTATAACTAACCAGAAATTAGGCTTGAGCATAAATTCCATGCTTTAGCACAGGACGGTTCCATAAGTACAGTCCCAAGAGTTATTATTTTCACTGTGGAGTGCATCTTCTTTCGAAAAGAGTTCAAACCAAGAATCCTGTGAAAGTCTCTGATGAATATTTATTTAAATTGGATTAATTACTTGATGACGTATTGATACAGAGGGAATTCATGCTGGGGTGCAGGGCTACTGGAGTTGAATATGAAAAAAATGATTTAAGGGCATTTGGTTGTGTAGAAGAAGCTATGTAAAAACTTTAACATTTTTACCCCATTGACCAGAAAAAGTGCATCAATAGCCTCTCATCCCAGCATGTTACTTGCCAAATTTCATCACTTTGGGCTGATTTTTGTTCAGAAGTTTTTCCTCTAAGAAATTTAAGGATAATGACATTGGCCATATTTGTTTGGAAACATCCTCAGGTTGTGGGGATCTAAAATCTAGGGGCGAGGCTAAAAAAGAACTATAGCTTTGAAATGGTTGAGATCCCAACCCAACAATCGTATAGAATTGCTGAGTTTACTGTTAGTAAAGAGACGGTACCCTTTAAGACTTAATCACTGGGTCGTAACTTTAAAGCAGTTCAGATCTTCAACCTATTGCTGTTTTATAAAATTGCAGAGCCTAAAGAGACAAACACATCATGATATTAGAATTGACTTAGGGGTCTGGCCACACCACAAGGGACTTAGTTTAAGGGTCACAACTTTGAACCGGTTGAGATCGCTACTATTTGGATTTACACGTTTGCTACCAAGATTGGCCACAGTGACTGGTCATATCCCTGTGATCTTATTTGCATTACTACTTTTGATGAGAATACGTGTTTTTGCCATGATTGCTTAAATATCCATGAAAGCAACACAGACTCTCTACCTTTTGTTTATTTGAACACAGTCATATGCCCTAAACTCCAAATAAGCCGTAGGATAAATAATGTTACCCTGACCTCTTGGTTATTCAATTAAATATACATCATTTGATTTAGCGCCCTATCTAGCTAACTTGAGACGCTCTAAAGCGCTTTACAGTACATAGATTACACAATTTTATACAATCAATTCAATTAACATATACAGTTATCAATACAATATCGAGGAATTCGCAGGCGCTAACTACTAGTCCTGTGCCACCTGGCTTATATCTCCCTTTGTATGTATGCTTGCGTGTGTGCTGGAGATGCATTGTGTTCTGTTTGTGGCCGTGCTTCCAACGGTATCATTTATAGTGCCACCTCACGTGAATGCTACAGCACAGATACCGCAACATCCATCCCAGACCATTTTATACTCCATCTGGGTTGTCAGAGTTGTGTGGGCAGGGGAAAACACAGTCTCTGAATATTCCATGCGTACGACGACTTCGGGGATCGAACCCGGCTTGGAAGGCCGGAGTGTTAACCATTCGACCAATCCGCCCATAAAACATTCAATAAATGTTCAAAGATTCTTACTCATTCAACACGTAAGACATTGAAAATGGGTCAAGGTCATTCATTTATACACAAGACAGCCGCGCATCCAGCATCTTAATAAAAAATATCATGACCAAGGCCTAATATTCCTAGAAGAGGTTGTTTGAAAATTTGAACCGTGACATTTGAATCCTGTGACTTTGAAAGGTGTTCAGGTTCATTCATGTGAACAAACTTGATACTCGTGCACCACTTAATCATGAAACCGGCCAGTTGACATGATCCAGGATCCGTATTGAGCGATTACTCAGAATCAGATGATGGAACATACTACTACTTTAATATCAAAGTTCTAGCCAGTTGCTGGAACCGTAACTCAGAACCTGTTAAATATATACTTTCCAGTATTTAGCGCCATCCGTCAAAGAGCCTCTATAACCAGCAATTCAGCGGCCAGCCTGAGATAAGGTCGCTGAACAAAGCAGTATATCTCTGGTTATAAACAATCGAAAGGTGAACTTATTCACAGATATGTACTAGAGTTTGTCAATAACAACCCTACGGTAGTGCAGTCCTCATCTCAGAACTATAGTATCTAGGAGTCAATCATCCTCGATATCCAGGGGTTACGCTCACTTTCGCTCAATACACCCCTGGAATCGTCCTCGATATCCAGGGGTTACGCTCACTTTCGCTCAATAAACCCCTCGATTCGTCCTCGATATCCAAGGGTTACGTTGACTTTCGCTCTCAGCACCCCTGGAATCATCCTCGATATCCAGGGGTTACGCTTACTTATGCTCTCTACACCCCTGGAATATGTCATAGCAAAATTGAAGACATGAAGATAGCTGTTTGATTGGTCTCAGGTGAAAAAAAAACACCTGACAAATCGCAAGGCTGATACCTGTCCTTTGAAGATTACAAAGGAGAGACGCCCGACTTCAAACCTATCATTTTTTTACCGCTACGTGACCGCGAGATTCTTTTGATGTATATCAATGGATCAAACTAGCCTTCTTGTCTCATCAACAAGGTAGCGCACGCCGAGCCTTCAATTTTGCTTTGACATATTCCAGAGGTGCAGAGAGCGAAAAGTGAGCGTAACCCCTGCCGATATCGAGAATGGGATTCAATAAATTCTTTGTGGGCAAACACTCATCTGCATATGAATTAACTCTATCGGGAAGATCGTTAACAATAAATAATAATAAGAAATTTAGGCTTTAAACCGTTCCAGGTTAAAAAAAAAAATAGCCTGCGTCCTCTTGATAACACTGCCGACTCCTCAGAGATGCAGTACCGGTAATTTACAGAAATCTTAACTCTCGGTCTCCTAATACCAATTATCCGGTGTCGTTCCCAAATGATGGCTATATCAATTTCATAGAATTAAAGTTTCATATAGCTTGTCACTGGTAGGCTTCCCTTATTGTCTACCTCTGTAAGAAAGCAATATCATAATTGATAAATATCAATAATTTAGATTCAAGCTTTCCGGTTAAACCCTTCATTAGGGATTGAATGGCAGTCACCCTTAGGTCTGGTCAGATATGGCTGACTTTCTCCTTTTTTATGGGCCAGAGAAATATCAGAATTTTAAAAAACCCGGAGATAGTCAACAATTTTTGACTACCTTATGTCAAATTAATACTTAAAACAAACAGCAATTGTTGAGAGAGAAGTAGTTTCATGCGAGGTTGGCCGAATCGAAGGTATACGCTCTCTGAT